GAATGCAAATTCACACCTCGGTTTACTCTCACACGCAGTTTCACATTGGGATTTACCAAGCCCATCGAAGTGTAATTTACAATCAGTTCAAAGACTCGCTTCATCAACAGCCGACAACAATCAACAACAATAAAAACTGGAAGTCGACATTCAGCACAGTTAATATTTCATATCATGAGGCTAATGCTTTTTTTCTTTTGAGTTTTAGCCAAGCTAGTGTAGATCTGGCAATGCAGGTCAGTCGCTCCATCGCTTTGCCCAGACTGAAATATCTCAACAGCTATTGAATTGATTGCTGTGAAATTTTGTACAGACATCCATCATTCTCAAAGGATGAATCCTCCTGACTTTGATGATCCCTTGATTTTTCATCTAGTGCCACTGGCAGTACCAAAATACCCTAGGCCCAAAAATAAATTGGTTCGAAAAGTTGGTTCCCTGCTTTTCCTTGGGAACCAAAGTGGGCATGTCATAGAGGTTGTTGAACCAAGGTTCCAAGAATCTTGAACGAAACCGGTTCAAGAACCAGAGCTAATTTGGTGGAAAACATCATGGTAGTACCAAAATATCTCATATAAGCCTTTTCCACCAACACGGAACCGGCTCCGTTCACCTAGTTTTTAACTGTTCAGAGCATTTCAACCAAAAATGAATTAGTCCTGAACCCAAAAAGTTGGTTCCAAGCTGGAACCAAAAAAATAAAGGTGGTTCCCCCCAGTTTTCTTAAACAACTTCAAACTGGTTTGCTAGATTCAATTCAAGAATCTTGAACAGAAATTTGGTTGAAAAACAGTAACAGTGCGAAAGGTCAGAAAAATACCACTGTCATAGCACTGCCACAAAAATAGAGCAAGTTGTCTTGTTCTACAAAAGTGTCCTAATTTGAGGGATTGTGTGATCACATTATCACATTGTTGATCACTTGGGGGCAGAAAAATTCAGCCCTGGATTTATAAGCTATAGACTGTATAAATAAAAATGGACATAGTCTCCATGACGTCAACTGCATGTTTCTGAAGAGCCCTCGTGAAGCTCAATGTGGTCAACTCTGGCCGTCAACATCTTGGTAGCCCTGACTCTGCAGGCTCCCGGCTGATCCAAAAATGGGTAAAGAGGTGGCGTGTGGGTAGAGCTAAATGTAACCAGTTAACTGAAAACAGCCGCCTGTATCTGTCACTCAAAGTGGCCATGACCTTAATTATGCACAACTTTAAGGATTAATATAATCTAAACAGTGAGTTATATGAAAATTCAGACCCATATACAGTTGTTAGGAATGATTAATATGGAGGTTTATGGAGACCGCTCACTTCTGTAGCCAGCCTCAAGTGGTTGTTCAAGGAACTACAGTTGGTGATCATTTTTGGAGTCGTCACTACGAGTGACACCTCTCACATCGCCATTTGATCCATATTTAAACTCCCTGCAAGGAACTTTCATTTTGGGTTCTGGCGGCCCGTGTGGACAAAAGCAATAGTGTTTCTAATGTTTTGTGGCAATGAACTCAAGTGGAATCCATCTGAATCCGACCCAGTGGCAGACTTTAGGATTAACTAATAGCCAATCTTACCGCTGATGGTCTCTTTTGTTTTGTAGGTCAAAGAGGCATCAGTATTAAAGTATCAGTACTGGTTTCATAACCAGTAATAAACTCCTTGTTGTAAGTTTAATATAAAAATAATATTTAAAAAAAGAAATCATGGTTATTTTCCTTGATTCACATCTCTCACCAGACATTACAATACAATAGGTAGTCAAACTGGGGAAAGAGACATAAGGACAGGCTGTTGTGATGAAAGAAAGGATTGGTTGTTAAAGCCTCATTTTTTACTACCACTGCATCACTGCGTAGACAGCAGCAGTATTAAATAAGTGATGTATCCATCTGCAGTGTGAGGGCTTGTGTCTGTCAGTGTGAATGGAAACAGTTGGTGGGCTGAAACCAGCCTCTGCTATGATGACAGTAAATCAACTGACCCACGCAACGGCGACTAAATCACGCTTGTTTGTGTGTGAAAGGGAGCGTGCATGTGTGTGAGCTCCTCTGCTCCTACCAATCAACGCATCAGATCTGACTTTTTGGTTTGATGTGGAAAAAGAGGCTGTAAGTATATGCATATGAACTCATGTTCAATAGGCTGCCATGAATGACATGGTGATGGCACCACGCACAAACAATGACACCAGATGATATGTAAATTAAAGTGTCTCCTTGACATTTTCACAAATCTTTTGTCCATTGGGAATGAATGGTCTATTACATGAATGAATCAGTGTTTTGAATGGACTGTATTTCTATATTGATGTGTGTGTTGTTAGTATAGGATCATTGTAAAAGAAAAACGCTGTGACCCACTTGTTGAGACCCAGATTTGAATTAACATTAATATTTTGTTACCATTCTATTATGTTACAGAGGAATGTAACATTTAGTATGCACTTCAGCACAAATTTTAGGTACTTGTACTTTACATAAGTTGTTTGTTTGTTGTTGTTTGTTCTTAAGGAGTACAGTCTAGACCTGCTGTATTTGCAAGGTGTCCTGAAATCAGTTATGATTTGGTGCTATACAAATAGAAATGAACTGAATTGAATTTCTTCTTATGCTACTTTTTATTTCTGCTTCACCACACACAGGGTCATATTGTGCATTTTAATTCACTGCAATTAGCTGAAACCTTGGTTACTTTAAAAATCAACATTTTTGCATAAAAAAAGTATAGACTAATTAAAGACTATATAATTAGACTATATAGCCAATATTCTCTCTCATGGTCTTGTTTGTTTATAGAGGTCACATAGGGCATCAGTCTTCAACTGAGACTGTTTCATAACCAGTTAAAATTTCCTTATGATATGTTTAAGTAACAGCAGGACAGTATTAATACAGTGTTGTATCAGTATTAATACAGTGTTGTATCTTTACTGAAGTACAGAATCCGACTACTTCCTCCACCTGATGGCAGCATTGGTGCCCAACTTTTTGTGCTGTGATCCCCAGATACACATTTTAAAATTCACTTAATGAAGACTGAGACATAGATACTCTTGCTGCACCCACACCTTTATAGGAAGGGCCTGACTAGGTGGAGGTGACACCCTGTTTACTAAACTGAACAGACCCTGAAGGATTTGCCATGGGCTTTGCAGCTTATTTCATGGAGACCTTGCTGCAGCAATATAAAGGCAATATAAGCCTAAAATATATTTTTAAAAACAAAAACAAACAAACAAACCAAAATAATTATGATGTACATTAAATCTTGAAGCCATTCATACTAGTGAACCCGCGGGTCGGGTCATTAAGGATTAAATATGTCCAATACAGCCTCCTTCTTAACAACACTGTTGGATAAATCCACCACAAAAGCGCCTATATATATATATATTTATTTTTATTAAGATTTGAATTTGTTGTTGCCAGTTTCCAGTGCCACTCGAAGGGCTGTTCTCAAGCACATTTGTCAGACCAAATAAAAGCCTTATTTAATGACATATTTAAGGTGTATTTAATAGCGACGGGGCGGGGTGGGGCGGGTTCAATTATTAAATAAATGCGGGACCTGCGGGTTGGAACAAACCCCGACCCACGCATCACTAATTCACACTGAGCCCTGTGTTACAGTACAGCTGGACCATTGTAAGGCTAATAGCACCACCTGCTGGATGTGCAGCACTCCTTCGTTCAAATTCATCTGTTGAAATGTCATCAGACTTTCAAAGCAAATTAACAGAGTTCATTTTCTTGCAGTTCCTGATCCCTGTATCTTAAAAGATATCTTGTATCTAGCCCGATGTTAGTGCACTGGTTCCGAACCCTTTTCCTTAAGGGAGCCCTTTTCTATCACTGAGTAAAGTGACTAAGTCAAATATCTGATGAATATTTCATATTATATCCAATGCATTACAATAACAATAGAGAGCAACAGATCAACTGCACAATGAACCCAGACTGTGAACACAATAACTGCAGGAAGTTTGTGTAAAACTTGGATTTGGATGAATTTTGAGCTGTTTTTTTACTGTGTATTTTGATTTTTTTTTTTAAAGTATTATTATTATTTATTATGTAGCATCATGTGAATCATACAGAATAAATAATTTCCCTTTGCTTTATATATGAAATGGAAAACAACTAATATCCATTAAATGAAAATAAGTTATATAGCTATTTTGTAAAATATAGTCTTGGCATGAAAAATAAAGTTGTGACAAAATTGTGTTTGTATCGGTCTTTGTTATGCTATCTGATAACTACTTTACATCTCTGTTCTCATCTGTGTACTCTGTGACACACAGGGGTGTCTCCAGGGGGGGGGCTGAAAACTGATCATTATCCTCTAGAAGAGATATAACGGGCTCTGTTTGAAAGCTGGAAACCAAATCCATTGTTGCCAACCATGTCATGCTAGCATGCAAATGGTTTCTATGGGTACCTACAAGTGCCTTCTTGCAGACATTTCCACTCCATGCTAATCCCATGCAGTTTGGGCTCATACAGGTTTTATTTTGTGCCAATGTGTGTTTGAACATTTGTGCAAACTGGGCTCCATAAACAGTGTTGGAACTGCATGAACTGGGACTGTCTGAGGCTGAGGGACATTTCCGTCATGTGGTAACGTTATCAGCCCCCTCGTGCACACACCTCTGCTTATGTGAGGTCACAAAAACAGGAGCACACGTGCGCTGATGATATTACCACATGGCTCTGCTCTGGCACGAGCGACCGTTAGACTCCGCCCACGTGTTGTGGTTCCGCGGTCACGTGACCAGAATAAGTTCTGAGAGAACCAGAAACACCCCGTCCGGTCGCTGCGTCTCATAAACGACTTGTTACATCTTATTCGAGACAGACACCTAAATCACCTCTGAAGCCGAGGATATTATTTTGAAAGTCCAAAGCGGAAGGTGTTTCTGTAGTAACGGTAGTTACGGGTTGACGCCGACCGGGGATGAACCGTCTCTCTCTTTCACGGTAACTAAAGATGGAATCACAAGAAACCCTGTCCGGTCAGGTAGTCGGTGTTGAGCAGGACGTGACACCGACCCCCGTGGATGTGGACGCGGCAGTGTTGCTGCTGGGAGCGGGAGTCACCGCGGTCACACACCCGCTGCTCTACGTGAAGCTGCTAATACAGGTAACGTTAGCTGGTGTGGGTTAGCTAGCGTTAGCTAACAGCAACCGTAATATGGTAACGTTATCAAAACGCCGCTGCTGCGCTGTTTCCATGTAACGTTACTCCTTAGCGACCGACGGCAGCCGGCTCGCTGGTCGTTACCGTCCACCCACCGTCCACCCACCGTCCTTTCCCACTCAGAAGAGCCCCACTGCAGTCAGGGTGTTCTTCCGGTAACAGGAGGTGCAGTACGGCAAAGAACCGCTCCTCGTCCGGTGCAGTGAGGTTTAGAAACATTAATATAACGTTAGATAATTGTTCATTTGCAAATATGTCAAACATGTTCTCAGTTATGACTGTCTCTTTCTAGAGTTGGGTAAGCTGCAGGAACTGAGAATCACATTCCAGCTCAAGTTTAATGATATTGTAAGTGAGTGCATTATAACAGATATATACTTCTCCCTGTTTAAATGTCCTCAGATGTTCTCAGAGGGCTGAGGTCAGGTGACTGCAGGGAAATCCATTTCCTTCAACATCAAACCGTTGTGGAAGAGCTTTGATGGTTAGAGGACTCGCCCTGTTGGAAAAGGCTTCATCAGCAATACTTAAAAGTCCATTAAACCATTTCGACTATTAGTCCATTCCAAAACAGTCCCACAGAGAAACACTGGCTGAGATGTGATAGCCATGTTGAGTGGTTATGGCTGATGTGTTTGTGTGTAAAATACTGAATGAAAAAAAGGAATTAATAAAGTAAATCCTCTTTTTCAAATTGTGATTTTGGGTTTATAAATAAAAATTTTCTTGACTTGCCTATTTGAGGTATGCCTAGGTCAGACTACATAATATATATATATATATATATATATGTATGTGTTATATATATATATATATATATATATATATATATATATATATATATGTATATATATATATATATATGTTATATATATATATATGTATATATATATATATGTGTATATATATATATATGTGTTATATATATATATATTTATATATATATATATATGTATATATATGTTATATATATATATGTATATATATATATATTATATATATTATATATATATATATGTATATATATATATATTATATATATTATATATATGTATATTATATATTATATATATATATATATATATATATATATATATATATATATATATATATATATATATATATATATATGTATTATATATATATATGTATTATATATATATATGTATGTATATATATATATATATGTATTATATATATATATGTATGTATATATATATATATATATATATATATATATATATATATATATATATATATATATATATATATATATATATATATATAAAGTGTGTGTGTGGAAAGGGAAAGGATTGTCCTGTGATAGATATAGTATATATTGAAAGAATACAGCATCTGTGAAGCCTAACAACGTCCTGATACAATATATGGCCTTGCTTACAGTATCACAATATACATTGAATCGTAACCCCTGTTTCCTTGTAGTGCCGTATTCTTGCCAATACAAATATAACCCAATCATTCCCATAAAGCCGAGAGGTCTAACCTCAGTCACTGTTGTTTCCAGGTGGGTCACGAACCTCTTCCTCCAACTGTGGGCTCAACTATGTTTGGACGTAGAGTCTTATACCTGCCTGGCTTCTTCTCCTATGGTGAGTGAGTTGTGAATAATCAATGTCTCCCCGTTTTACTGGACATACTTAGAGAGCAGTTAACAGGAAGTGAATTTGTTTTCAGCACAGCACATTGTGAAAGTTGATGGAAAGAGAGGACTCTTCCGTGGCCTCTCACCTCGTATCATGTCCAGTGCCATCTCCACTGTGGTCAGGAGCAAGGTTAAACAGGTAAGCAAGGACTGAGAGTAAAAATGAATAGCAAAGTTATTTGCTATTAATATGAAGACTGATGCCAATATGTTTTTGAAACATTTTGTATTTAGCAGTCATTGACCCATTTGATTGGCGGGAAATTCAATTATTGCTTAGCTTTAATCCTTAACTGTAGATATTATGTCACAGTAAAAAATATCAGTTACTCACCTGTTACAGACTTGAATTATGAAGAAGTCAGAGAAGTATAGGTCTTTTTGGAGGGGGGGGGGGCGATTGACATGCCTTGTAATTCATCTTCAATGAGAGGTGAGCGGGCAGGTAGGGAGGCACAGACAATCTGACAGGTGAAGCGCCTGTCAGCTATCCAGAGAATGACACGGTTGTCTGAGTCGTCTCATGCACACGTCTGTCTGCTGTCGGAGTTGATTTTTTTCTTGAACTTTTTCCTACAACTACGATGGATGAGAGACTGATCCTTGCTGCTTGTTTGTTTCCTGAACTAACAGGAGGGCAGAGCATCGGCGCAAGACTGGATACATCAGGTGGCTTCAGTTCAAGTAATTTTAGTTCTTTATTCAGCAGGTGGAGCTTCTATCCAAGAGAGATGACAAGCAGACTTCACTCAGGAAAGTGGTCCAAGAGGTGAGAGGTGCTCCTGAATAACATGGAAACTGAAATCTGTGGCAACATTGGTGACTTCTTTCATTTTAAGTCTAACTGGACAGTATAATTAAAATGTCTCCTTATACTTAATGCAACTTTCTGTTGGGGAGTTTCTGTTTAAATATGGATGACTGTCAGATTTGCGTTTTGCCAATATTAGATTTATTTAGAGCAAAATGCCTGTACAGCTTCCATTGTTGAATGGAAAAAATATGTTTATATTCCTCAAAGTAAGCTGCCAAGAAAAGCATTGTTTCAGTATCAGAACTGAAACACAGGTAGGAGGTAGAAAATTAAAAAAGATACCCTGCTCTACTCAGGACACATCCTGTACAATCCCTTTTCAATTCAATACAATTCAATTTTATTTGTATAGCGCCAATTCATAACAGAAGTTATCTCAGGACACTTTTCAAATAGAGCAGGTCTAGACTGAACTCTTTATAACATTAATTACAGAGACCCAACAGTACCACCATGAGCAAGCACTTGGCGACAAGGGCAAGGAAAAACTGCCTGTTAAAAGGCAGAAACCTAGGACAGATCCTCCGGCTCTAGGTGGGTGGTCGTCTGTCTCGACCAGTTGGGGTGAGAGACAGAGAGACAGACAGACAGACAGACAGACAGACAGACAGGTGCACAGCAACAACAGTATTGGCAATGGCAGTCAAGCAGGACCATGGCAGGAGGCTCCACCAGGATCCATGAGAACCTGCGAGATGAGAAAGCACAAGAACTCTGGGGAAGAAGTGAAGTTAGTAACATGCATTAATGGGACATGAATGAGTGCAGAAAGAGGGAGGAAGAGAGGAGCTCAGTGCACCATGGGAAATCCCCCAATAGTCTAGGCCTATAGCAGCATAACTAAGGGATGGTTCAGGACTCACCTGATCCAGCCCTAACTATAAGCTTTATCAAAGAGGAACGTCTTAAGCCTACTCTTAAATGTGGTGAGGGTGTCTGCCTCCCGAACCACAACTGGAAGCTGGTTCCACAGGAGAGGAGCTTGGTAACTGAAGGCTCTGGCTCCTGTTCTACTTTTAGAGACTATAGGAACCACAAGTAGCCCAGCATTCAGAGAACGTAGTGTTATAGTGGGGTAATAGGGTACTATGAGCTCTTTAAGATATGAAGGGGCCTGACCATGAAGAGCTTTATAGGTGAGGAGGAGGATTTTAAATTCAATTCTACATTTTTTTCATTGCTTTGCTTTGGAACAAATCTTTATACTTAATACCAGGTTGTCTCTTTGAATTGTTTCCTCTCTCCAGACCTCACATGAGATGATCATCCAGTGTCTGTCCAGAGTAGCCACTCATCCTTTTCATGGTATGTCCTCATTAAAGGTGCAATATGTAAGATTATTTGTTCACAATATTCAACAGTTTTGATTTTATGGCAAAGAAGTCAGCATGCTAATCAGATAGCCCCGTCCCGTCCTGCCTCGTAATACCTCTTTTACCTCAAGAGTCCATAGTGAGTCACTCTAGGGTCCAGTCTTCCCTCAGTTTTCTTGCTGGTTTTATTTTCTGGCGCCCCTGGGCTGACACCGCAGTTACCCCATGCTCAGGCCTCTGGAGGGGGGGCTGCTGACTGATGCCCAACCTCCCTCTCGCTCCTCTCCCACTTCACACCTCACCTGTCCCTGCCTGAACCTGCAGTGCCTTCATTGTCCCTGTAGTCAGTCCCAGTCCAAGCACAGTAATAGGATGGTAGCTGCAAGGTTGCAAGGTTAACTGAGCTAAATAGCTAACAGCAGCTACAGTTAGCAGTTACTGTGGCGATATGCTGCCCCCTATTTGTTCGTGGTATGAATTCAATAACTGGCCAGTTCCTACATATTGCCCCTTTTTAAGGTTGTCAAAGTGTATTTCACCATTAAAAGTGTCTTTGATTATGTGGCTATATTCTGGAAGCTTCCACCTCATCTACAAAAGCAAGTTCACAACCCAAACTAGGGCTACAGCTAATTATTTTCATTATTGATTGGTTGGGAAGTTGTTTTTTCAATTGATCCTTTCGTGTATAAAATGTTAAAATACTGTGAAAAATACCCATCACAAATTTTCCAAGGTAATGTCTTCAAATGTCTTGTTTTGTCCGACCAACTAAGACCCAAAGATATTCAGTTCAACAGTGACATAAAACATTGGAGAAACTGAAACAGTAACAGTTTTTTATCATTGAACGATTAAACATCCATCTTTTTGTGCTACCTACAATATGTGCTATGCTGTCACTCCCTTTAAAGCTGGTATTAAGTGGAATGTAATGTCATAAGAGCCAAAAGGTACACTGGTTGATTACCTGTTTTGTTTTCCATTGGCAGTTATGTCAGTGCGGTGTATGGCCCAGTTTGTTGGCAGAGAGGTCAAGTACAGGTAAGACTTTGTATAATTCTGCAGATATGCCACAATATTTCCTTTTAAAACCTTTGAAAACATGGCAAAGGAATACTTGTAACTAAGTCTCAGTCCTATGATAATGGTATATCGCCATAGTAACAGCAAGGTTTATGCTGAACTGCTCCAGAGGTTCCAGGTTATGCATGGGATAGGCACTGTCTGTTGGAAAATGACATCACCATTCACAGAAGATTCTGTGTGTTAATTACTAACTGCTTGGAGCAATTTTATTATCAGCCTACAACAGACAGATTAAAGTATCAAAAGCCATATGAATACATCTAAGCAACACATATAATATACGGTAATGCACAAATGTAATAGTAGTCGGATTTAAATTAATTTGCACTTTCACAGTCAGAGATTTTTTGCCAGCTGTTCTTTCTGCAGCAGGCAGCAGGAACTGTGTTGCTTTGAGCTTGGATTAAGTGTTCAACTTCTTTGTATTTGTGTAATATTATAGTTTGCTCTTCATCTGTAAAATATGCCGCTGTGCTGCGACTTTCCATCTTTGTGATTGGTCATATGCTACAAACACTGCCCTGTTTACGTGAACACACTGATTGGGAAACTGTAGGTTGACTTACTGAGTTGATAACTACATCATGTGACCACTTGGTGAGTGAGAGAGAGAGAGAGAGAGAGAGAGAGAGAGAGAAAAACTTTATTGTCCACAATGTGGAAATTTGTCTTCGGTTTATAAAAAACATAAAAAACTTTTACAGAACTACAACTCACGAAAGATAAAAACATTCATGAATGGCAAATGTATTTATGGCAAAATGCTGGGCCTGAAATATTTTAAAAAGGGGGGTTTACATCAAAATCTTAACTTTAACAATGTCTCCATTGTCATTTAAGCAACAACAACATCCTAACTTGTAAAAGGACTGATGTGTAGATATCACAGATATAGCATATCAGAATATATGTTGGTGGATAAGTAAGAAGAACTTTCCGCCTACTTCAAACCAGTGAGAGAGCACAACACAAATACAGACCTCTGTCATGTAAAATAACTCTAAATATTTAAAGTTCAGCAGATAATACCCATACTCAGAAGCTGTTCAAAGATCAGTTTTCAGGGCTGTTAAAATTTCGATAAGAGCCAAACATTTTGACTGCAGACATTCTGCACGTGTTAATGGAGTCTGTGTCACCTTTGCAGCGGGATGTTCAGTTGTATTATGAAGATTTTTAAGGAGGAAGGAGTTGCTGGATTCTATGTGTGAGTCATACTTCTACTTTCACTGTTCATTAGTACAATTCTTCTGACTCATTCACCTTGACCTTTGCCCTCCATCAGCCTGAGCAGTGTTTTGTGTGTTTGCAGTGGTCTCGTACCCCATGTGGTGGGAGAGGTTCTCTTCCTGTGGTGTTGTAACCTCCTGGCTCACTTTATTAACACCTACGCTGTAGATGAAAGTGTAAGTCCATCACCTTTTTGGATGGTAGTATAAGAAAAAAAACAAGCTATGACAATCAATATCATTTCATATTAACACAATCATTTATTTACAGATAACACGATTGTATAAATAAGCATGTATAAATATAAATAAATAGTGCAAAAAGTCTAAGATTGAACCGTTCACATTTAAAACAAGATAGTCTCTGCCTGCTCTGGGTCATACTGGATCATGTCTTTATTAACAGTATTGAGCCAAATAATTTGGATGCAGTTCTAACCATTTTCTATGGCTTCCAGCTGTAGTCAGGCTGGGAAACTATAACACAGAAAGTTCTGTTTTAATTAGTTTTATTTTGTGTGTCAATGTAAACACTTCCTCCATGTTAACGCGTTGTCTTGATGAGTTCAGTATAATGTAGATTTCTGCAGCACTAATCCACTGCGCTGCTCTGAGGGAAAATCATGCAGTTTGTTGTGCTGCAGTTGTCCTCGAGTTTGCAGCTACAGTCTGAGGTAAATGCAGCCAAACGTGCACTTAAATTAAAAGTAAGAAAGAAAGATACTGACTTGTGATCAGATACTGTGATCATTCATAAACAGCCCAATTGCTAAATTTTTCTTTCTAAAAGTTGTTTTCAAATAATACATTAGCCTACAATGAGCCTGTAAATCCAATTTACACATCCAAACTGCAGTTTACACCTGGTCTTCAGAGGCAGAGGATTTTCCAGAACTGACAGTCACAACTTGCATGACTTCAGGAACTCCAGTGGAAGACACATTCTAACATGTCTCGTCCGCCTGGTGTGTCTGTTGGATAAATACATAAACAATATATATCTTTGCCTATGAGTAAAAGTGAGCCTGACTTTCTCTCATAGAAATACTTTTTTTCATTCACTAATTATTTCACTAATCTCCAATCAATGGAATTACTGGGTAGGATTAAGTGAATCATTAGTTAACTAGGAAAGGGGGGGTGTGGACCGAGGTTCTGACCGTGGCTTACTCAACTGTTATTGGAGCACAAAGCAAAAAGGAGTGGGACTTAGGAAGGGTCAGTTAAAGCCTTCCAGCAGATCAAATGGCATACTTCTCTCTATTCCTGGTAGGCTTTTAATTTGAAACATACACAGGAAGTGTTGAGTTTTATTGATGGTATCTTAATTAAAACGGTAGTAAAAACAACTGTAAATGATCAGGGAATGAAAACAGTGTTAGTGTTACAAAGTAAGTGTTTTCACAGAGTGCTGAGTAATGGACATTATACTGAGTCTACCATGTGAGGTGTTTTTAATAGTACAGCTAGTTCCTCTTCCCCTCAGTGTTTTTTACCTGCTCTTTATCAGTGAGCAGCCTTTTTATTTGAGACTCATGTTACTACACCTCCAGTGTTTATTTGAGAATTGATGATGGATTCAGAAGTATCACAGGATAATGGAGGTGTACAGATGTTTCAGTTTGTCAAGTTGCTGTTCTGGATAGCGAGGTGATCTCAGCTTAATCCATTTCAAAAGTTATACCAGGGAGTTATAAAGTATTACAGGTGCTATCAAGCCATTACCTATAGGAAGATTACATTTCCTGTAGTTGAATTGAACTTAACTGATTATATTTAATTAAATGTCCTGTTACATGAGCACTACATTTTGACGTCTCTGCTTGTATTTGTGTTGCAGTTCAGTCAGGCCTCAGCAGTCAGAAGCTACACTAAGTTTGTGATGGGCGTAAGTTCAACATTCAAGCTGTTATTGGAAATGTTTCTCATAGGCAGCTTTACTCCATAGTAACGGAGTGTTTTTTTTTTTTCTTTCTAGATTGCAGTTAGTGTTCTAACATATCCATTCATGCTGGTGGCTGATCTCATGGCTGTCAACAACTGTGGGTGAGTCATTCTTTAAAACAGTACATTCACTAATTAATAATCAGGAACATTTTCACTGCGAGCTGTTCGTATACATGATTGATTTCACATATAGTCAGTACATTCAGCGTGGCAGCTCGTACCTAAAAGCAAACATTTAGACCTTCAGGTTGGAAATACGATTTGCAGGAAATAAGGATGAATAAATAAAGTATGACAGATCCAAATGATACATGTTCCTTTAGGGCTTCTTGCATGTCTTTACTCCCAGCTCCAGTCCTGGTGCTTCAGTCTGACTGGCTGTGCTCTGTGTTGTCAGGCTGGCTGCAGGTCTTCCTCCCCACTCTCCCATCTTTAGGTCATGGGTGCACTGCTGGAACCACCTGAGCCACAAGGTACAGTTAACTCCACCGCTCTCCTCCTCTTCCACACTGGAGCAAACACAGTGACACAACAGGAAAGAGCCACAGTGTTTTCCAACCTGAACCTTTGTTTACGTGCGTGAGCCCGTTAGTGGCTGTCTGTCTGCAGTGTGTGCGAGCCAGAGAAGCAGTAGTAAACAGAAGGTTGGTTTCTGCCTGCAACGTTCCAAATTGGTTTACACTACAGGCAAAAGCATTGTTACTTTCATGCACCGGCCAATTTAGATATTTTGGGCTATTTGGCTTCCATAATTAATCAACTGGGGAGGTCTCATGCTGATATCTGTCTATCTGTCTATCTATCTATCTATCTATCTATCTATCTATCTATAGTGAATTTTACAATTCATATCTCTAAAGGCCATTTTCTCACACTCTGAGCTAGCTAGGGTTGGGCGGTATGTTAAAAGCTTAATTGCCTTGTGAACTCAACTTCAAACACACTTCATTCAAACTTGTCAAACGAAATAAAACTCACCAAACCAACTCAGGTGACTAACCATCTAACAGAGTTAGATGTGAAGATATTCTGGCTCTACAGCTGTTTTTCCGCTCAGTGTGTGTGTGTGTACTGTGTCGCTGAGTAGCGGCTCTTTCTTTGGAAGCAGACCATCAAATTAGCAAAATGACCAAAAAACGATGGAATCACCCATTTACCCAATTACCCAACCCTAATCTGAGCCAGGAACCTCCACTTCAGTAGCACTTACCTGCACCAAACCTTCCAGTTGTATCTATATTCTGAAGCTTTGTACAGAGGGCTTTGTTCATATATCATTCTTAGCCTGATTTATATTAGATTTATTTTTGCACATTTCGCCTGCACACATCATGTACAGACAGGCGTTGTTCACAGTAAAGTCATTCCAGTGTGTGGCGGTTCATTCTTTTTGACTGTTATTGTCATTTCTGGAGGGAGGATGTCAAAAAGAGAATACTGATAAATCTACGGAGTTAAACATAGAGTTCAGAACAACCCCTGTCCTGATTCCAATCACTTCCTTTAGTATGACCAGTTTCTTTATAAGATTGTGTCTGACCGATATATTGGTCAGCTGATATAATCGGCCTATCACAGACATATTGGTATTGGTTTTGGTATAGATATCCTTAACGCGCCAATGTGTTTTTTCCCTGATGTATACAATGCAGAAGAAAATACTTGTGGTAATATATTGGGGTCACTGCAGAGTTTGTCCAGCAGAGTGCGCTGTGATTACAACACTGTGGCAAGCAGCACAGAGTGAGAGAGAAGCAGCTGTTCGCAGTGTGGTTGAGTATGTATAATATACATACTCGACCACACTGCGACATATTATGTCAAATTACTGAACATGTTAGAGAATATTTAACGTAAATACTTTATTATACTGTATAAAGTTATTTGTATAAGAAAGCAGCTTTCCAAGTAGCTTTGCCACATCAGTGAAAAAGTCTGGGTTTTTTTTAAATTCCTGGTAAAAAATTCCCACTGCTGGCTGCCGTATAAGTAATCAGTGAATCTTTCCCCTTCTAAAATCTGTATTGGTCTCAAAAATCCCATATGGGTGCTGCTCATATTGTGGACTGAAGTTGTCCATTGTCCACAGCATTTAAAGTCAGTATGTGTCCCCTCCTGTTAGGGCCACCTCTTCAGAGGATCCAGCTTCTTTTTCCGCCGGGTGCCTGTGACCTCCCTGCCCTCCACGAGGACTGACTTTGCCAGCTAGGGGGTGTTCTTCCTCCTCCCGCTCACAGACATCGTCCAAAGACACGGCCTTGGTCAGCCTCTGCTGCCGCCATCCACACATTGCAGGAGCAGCAGAGAGGCAGTTCACAGAGCGCTGACGAACTTTTCTTTACAGGAGCTTTACTTCAGATCAGTAGGGGGAGGATACAGGTGGTCGGATTCATTCAGCAGTTCCAAACAGTTCAGAAACTATGGTCCAGGGTTTTGTTGACTGTGGTGGTCAAACATTATGATGCTCCAACATGGGCTCATGGGCACCGCAGTAATTAATGCTGTCACACAAACCAAACCAGAGAAATGCCCTGATCTCTATGCAGAAAACATTTCCAACTGACAGCCATAACACATATTCCTGAGTTTAACACAATTCACTACAAATCACAAGTCAGTCCCTCCAGGATTTCACAGGCTTTTTTGCAAATGTTGGAGCCTAAAATGCTGATTGATTGATTTCACTGCAGATTTTCTAAAAAAACTGCAATGCACATTAGGCAATTTTTCTGCAATGAGAAAGTAGTTAAAATTGCACAAATAGTTGTCTCTAGTGAGAATAAAATCGCATGGTTTTACATGGTGAAACTCAACTACAATGATTGGTCAAATTTGCAGAAAAGTAGCGGCAACTGGACTGAACTGTAGTCACGCAGAGTTCACGAGGGTCGGTTTAACTGTGTTAATTGTTGCAATTGCAACTTCCTGGAGGGACTGAAGTAAAGTTAAAAGGTCCAGTGTGTAACATTTAGAAGGATCTATTGTCAGAAATGGAATATAATATTCATATCTATGTTTTCATTACACATCTCTTACATTCTTGAAACAGGAGGGTGAGGCGAGGGGTTTGTAATCCGCAACTACACTACTAGACTATGTCACTGTAATTAGTGGTAATTACAGGAAAACAAAACATTGAATTTTCTTTAAAGGGGAACTTTGCTGATTTTCAACCAGCTTTGTATCATTGCAGTGTGGGTAGTATATGCAAGTGAACAATGTTTAACTTCCTTCATGTTGCCTGCACGTAGAGTTCCCTGATCATTTGTGATGAAGATTATCTTGCTGAACAAAACAGTATCGTAAGTATTGTGGGTCAAACTACAAAACTGACAGTGCCTGACAGCACTCTTGCATTTCAACATTTTGAAAAGGAAAGTAGTGTTGTAGTGTTTCTACAGTTACATGGTGTCCCTTTAAACTCTCCTTTCAAATATTGACCTTCAGTAGGAAAAAGAAAGCAACCAGCAGCCTCACCCACTGCTCTGATACACAAATATTACAATAATATTAGCAAAGTAAGTCTAAATCTTTCATGTATTTGTAATACCTAATCCTCCTCCAAGCCTGTTATTACCAGTCACCCGTCACCCACCAGTGACTGTCCTCCATTTACCAGTAAGTGTTATTTATATGAAGCCACTTCAGCTCTGAAGCTGCATGAAGTTCGGACTGAACAGGACACATTGTATCTGAAGGTTTGTCGTTTCTTTGCCAAAACAGTGTCTGTGTTTCTGTTTATGGAAACAATCTGTGTGTCCGGTTTTGCTGACTAACAAAAAATATATATTTTTTAATTTAAAGAATGATTTAAAAAATGTGAACACATGGGGGAAAAAAACGATGTATATAGAATATAGAAATGCATGGAAAATCGCCATGGCTACAATGTAAAGTCTTACATATAGGAAATATGTACATGTAGGAGTTATGTATAGTAGCATGTCTTGAATTTTAATTTTATACCCTGAAGTTTTAAGAATTTTCTTTTTGATGTTTTAAAAAAATATATATATTTTTGTGCTCAAATGTTTTTTCATTCCATCATACACAACCTGTTACATTTAAATCATTCCCCAGAGGACTGATTAAAAGCCATACATGTGTGTTACTCCCTCATGTGACTGAAAAGTGAATGATGTTCATATTTTGACTCGTTTATTCTCCCTCAGTCCTTATGACAATAACATCTTTGCTACTCCCCAGTGGCCAGTCTGTGGTAAAGATCTGGGCACTGCTTTCTAATAAGAGTTGAGGTATGTGTGTCTGAGTCTGTACTTTACGTTTGGCCCTGTGACAAACAAACTCAAGTTATATTGAAATTGTAACTATGAACTTTTCATGTTAAACATGATACTGAGTTCTGGCGTGGCAGCAATAGGCTTCCGTAATTCAAAGCAGTGGGCTTATTAAATTATTAAAATGCCGAGCAAAGAACCCCAGGAGGTCAACAGTTGGACTGTCTTCCAACAGTTCCTGCTATTTTTACCATCTTGAGACAACACCAACATCCTAATGAAGGCACTTAGCTACCATTCACTCAAATGTTGTGAAGGAGGACACAACACAGTAAGTGCAGAGTAATTCATTGTCAAATAGCAGAGAACAATACAACAGCCACACGCTACAAAGAGAACAGTGGTTTAAATAATGTACACCCACCTTCCCAGAACCCCTCACTTCTCACTCTCAGATCACATGTGGTACATGATGACACAAGCAGAGCACACACACACATCTGACCCTCTTGTAGAAAACATACAGGCCTTCAAGCAATCCAACATTGCATTGTTTTTACTGAGCATGATCACATCCTCACCCACAGTCTGAAGCATACCTCTCTCTCACTCTCTCACTCACACACACTCACACAAAGTGGCATTATCAACAAGTCATTCCATGTATTCTATTGCTTTAAGCTGACTCATCTGCAGTTTGGTAAAAGCATGCCAAGCCTAAGCATTCCAATAACAGACAGTGTGTTTAAAATGGTGACCCCTGCCATAGAAAAAAAAAGCTCCACCGCGTGCTTTTATAAAATGTGTTACTTCATCTACACACTACCTGAATGCACTAAGTTTTATATTACAGACAATAGGAAAAACTTTCAGACTATATATATATATATATATATATATATATATATATATATGGATGGAAGCCCATTCCTGCCAGAAAAAAAAATGTTAAAGATAGGAGATGCTTTTTTAAGTTGTAATTAAAAAATACTAAGTTACTTTTAAGTGAAACTTGAAGTCGTAATTGTACAATAATGTCAATTTCGACCTCAAATCTCAAAATATGGTCTTACCATATGTTTTGAGTTGGCTGGTCAATATTAATGACATACATCCAAATTTTAGTATGGCATAGTAAGACAAGATTACCAAACATAAGAAATTTTTTTAAACCAAAATGACAACATACAATTTGACTTTAAAAATTTAAGTAAAAACTCCAATAAATAAATCCAAATTCTGAGTCAACATAATTAAAACTCACTTTGGTACCGTGTTCCAATTTTCAATCTTACTTCGCTCTTTCTTTATCGTTTCTGAGGGAAATGGGCTTCCACAGTTATACCTCGTGCCAGGACGATTAAAAATTAACAAACTTGCATGGTCCAGGCGACATTCACACGAACAGCATTTTGGAATTATTGTGGCAAAAAATTATTTTCTCTGTGACTCCATAAAACATTTACATTCATTAGAAATGACAGCATTTTGGATATTGTGTTCACTGGAAGATGTTTAGCCCTGTGCTTTTAAATTTATAAAAGTAACTCCACACTGGACTTGTTCAGAGGACAAGCTCTGCTGCATTGTGGAGTTATTCTGTAAGATGTTAAGTGTCTCTTGAAACAAAACAGAACATACCAAACCAAAAACCATACACAAAAAAAATATATACATACATACACACACACACCCACACCCACACACACACCTGACAAAAGCAATGCTATAAGTTTCCCTCCAGCTGATATCAACTTCAAACATCCTGACCTCAGAAATCAACCACCACACTATTACACATCAAAATATACTTTAAAAAAATAACTTCTCATAAAGTTCATCAACCAAACCAATCCAATGTCTTGTGAATACAATACCCGAAGCAGAGGTGGCGATCTAAACAAGAAACTGCAACAGAACTGGAGCAAAGGCCTGAAGGCAGAGCAGTGACAGCGGTAAATTCCCACACCGTTTACAGCACAGTTTTATCTACATGTCCAGAACATGTGAGCACAACATCTTTTATTCCCACAAGGCTATACATGTGTGAGAGTCTCCTTAACACTCTGAAATCTGAAACAACTCAACTGCAACGCATCCTTCCAGAGACAGAGTCCCCGTTACTCTGGGTAATTTAGATGAACCATTTTCTACTCAAGGTTGTTCTGCTGCATTACAATAATACAACAAGCTAAACAGTGAGATTCTGAGAGCCAATGAGTTGAATGGGCTGACTTGTAGGTTGCAGTTTGGTTTCAGCAGTACATCATTACTGCAGTAATCCATCTATTATGTAGACTATTTAATAGGCTGATCAGTCTACAAGAATTGACCCATCCTAAGTCCCGCCTCTTTTTACTCTGTGATCCAATGACAGTTGAGAAAGCCTCAGTCAGAACCTTAGTCACTTTTTTCTTTTCCAGATATGCTATGTGCTAGGCTAATCTATGTTGAAAAGACGAGCATATTTTGAAGATGGTTAAAAGATAAAAGCGATATAGTCACAACTAGCTAGCTAATCTGCATCAATCGTTAGCTAGTCTGAAAGCTAATTGTTACCAAAATGCTAGCTAACTAGCTAGCTATGTAAGAAAAACAAGTTCTTTTCATCAATCGGTAGTTAGCTAGAGTTTTGCTGACATTAGCTAACTTAAGATGCGACTATTTACACCGGTAAGTGTCGCTTTTATCTTTTAACCATCTCCAAAATGTGCTTGTCTTTTCAACATAGATGTCTCTAGCACATAGCATATCTCAGTCCAGGAAAGGACAAAGTTCAGACTGAGATCTGTTATTGGAGCACAGACCAAAAAGGGGCGGGACTTAAAACATTTCAATTGCATTAGTTGAAGTTTCGATGGGAAGACGTACTGTTTCATGCTGATTAGAGCTGTTCTGATACAATTATTTCCCGTTGATACCAAGAACTCTTCCGATACATGTGCATTAAAAATGAGATACATAGTATCTTATTTTTTAACAAGCGTATACTACTAAGCCTGTATGACTGCGACCACTGTTGCATGGACTGACCCAGGTTAAACCCAGTAGGGCGGGTCATGACTTAAAAATGCAAATGGGGCACCCGTGGGAGTAGAAGGTCCTGTTTTGGGGCAGATAAAATAAGTGGTATCTGATCAGTGCACAGACATGCGTACTCACTGATACCAGATATTTTAGGCAGTGTCAAGGGAATTTATGATTTTAGTATCTGTATCAGAACAACTCTAATGATGATCTTCAGATTTCCCACCCTTATGACACTAAAAGTCTGAGTGTGCAACATGTTCTTGGCATTTAAATAATCAAATGTAGACATTTGTGGGGTAATGGTGACTTCGGCTTTGAGATAGCGCCTTCACTTCCCTGTCAAACTCGTGTGGCCACAAGTATACTTTTCCAGTCCAAACGCACAAACTACTGAGCTGTAGGCCTGACTGTACTGGAGTTGGATTAAACATCATATAAGGTGCTAAATGTATCTGAACGTAGGTGGGTCATTGTGAAAATGTAACAACACTCAACAAAATGCACCATTCTCATATATTTACGCTTTTCAACAAGCAAATCTTGCAAATATCAATCTATAAAACTACAATTCTAAGTTATGTGACGTGACAGAGATCAAGCAGAAACATCATTCAGTTCAGTCTTTGGTTAGGTCATGTGAAGAAGCCAGCAGCACTTTAGAGAAGCCTCATAGTGAGCTCTTGTAGGAAAATGACAAGAAACATTTGGACAGAATCCCTGAAGAGCACCTGATTCACTGTGGAAAGTGGCGACTTAATGCAATGTTTGAGTTGATAAGTCAACATGAAACGGTAAATGCAGTGGATGCCCTGGTTTGGAAGGAGAAGAGCCCTTGGTAGGTCCAACAGACTGATGCTGGTTTATAGACAGGGAATGTAAATGGTGCTGGTATAAGGACTAAAGACATCCCACTGCATCCACTGGTGGAAAAGGGAAGTGGAGAGAATCACAATCTCTGGAATCCCAGTTCAGTCTTCACATGTGAGTAGGAAGTAGAAAGGTACCCTCAGAAGCGCCAGAAAAAGTGAAGACCTGCAGAAATGAAGGCAGCAGTTCCTATGGTGGAAAGCAACGGACGAAATGGAGCCCCTTTATTATTTGCAGAGTCCTGTGTGACAAGAATCCTTGTCACTCAGGTAACAGAGAACCGACAGAGTTCTCCTTTCAGGGCTGAAGTTCCTCAGACAACAGGGGGTTGGACGACTCATTCAGGTTTCATGGTGGTGTTGGTTATAAAAGCCTGACTGAAGGTGTTCATCTCTTGCCTGACTTCATGTAGGACGGTATCGCTCCTCGAGCGGTCAGGCCTTCGAAGCGTTTGTAGGTGTAGTTGATGAAGACCCAGTCCTTGTTCTTCAGGTCGACCTCGGTCTGGTTAGACACCGGGGCAACTGGACAATGGGGGGCAGAAAGAGCAGGAGGGTTTTTAATCATTTCAAGACAGCACAGCACACATGAAATGTATTCACCAGAAAGAGGCAGCGTACCTGTTGGTGTGAGGATATCTGAATCAGGGAACTCATCAAAGTTTGAGGTGTCGTCAATGCTTTTGATCTCTATGGGAATGGCAGCAGGTCTCTCTCTGGAGAACAGGTCAGTGAAGGTAGGGAAAAATAAAAAAAGAGTTGGAAAGGTCGCCAGAGTCAAATCTTGCCTTTGTCACCCAGCTTCTGAAGTTCTCAATCTCAGCCGGCTGTTAGCCCGGCTTTCGTAAAAGAGGTGGTCCACCACTGTTGCTCAGTACTTTTCAGATTTAGTTGGACAATCAGTAATCAATAGCTTTCTTTATCTGTATGGTCATGTTAAACTGTCAGGGTTTCAGTAAGATCTCTTGCATTATCATGTGCCAGTTCTCTATGTGTTGGATTGTGCCTCTGTACAGGGGAAGTATAATTTAAATACCACATTGGTTGTCTGCCCCAGCTGTATTTTTAATACAGTACAACCACAGTCTGATCTGTTGGCCACTGGAGCAGTTGTCAGTTACATCTACACGCTATTATCAAATGCATTTTTAAATATGTTTTGTTGCACGCTGAGTGCAATAAACACAAAAATCTGGAGCGTTCTCATTCTGTTAAATTGTTTAAATTATTAAATTATAACAATTCACAAAAATTGGGGAATTCACATCTAAAATATTAATTATCTAAGACCAAGGAAAGGTTTCAAATGCCTCACAGTAACAATTGTTTAACACAAACATATGATAACAGTGCCCACCTGATATGGTCGTAGTCCACCCCCTCAAAGAAAGGATTGGACTTGATCTCCTCCACACCTACAGCACCGATCCTGTGCTCCTCCTCACAGCAGAACCTGTTCCCAACACATGTTCACGTTACATCATACACATTCAACAACTCAGTACAAACCATGTTGTGTTAGGTGCTATTAGATGACTGATATTAGTGACTGTAGCATCAGTTACTATGGTACAAGCGAGAGTGCTGCAGGATGAACTGAGGTGTGTTCCTACCTGAGGATGAGGTCTTTGGCCTTCTCTGATATAGGCACTTCTGGAGGAAAGGTCAGCGTCTCCCGCCAGTTCATCACTTTCCTGTACGTCTCCTGAGGCGTCTCTGAGCAGAACGGAGGGTAACCTGCGGACGGCAAGGACAGCAAAAAAGACCATTGTTTAGAACACATCTGGCCTGGCTTGGCCTGGTCAAACACCCCTGAAGCTAAATACACTGGATGCGGTTCCATCATGTCGGAGTAATTTACCTATCAGCATCTCATACATGATGACACCCAGGCTCCACCAATCGCAGAGCTTGTTGTATCCATTTTGCATGAAGACCTCTGGAGCGATGTAGTCTGGAGTTCCCACTGTGGAGAAAGCCTGACAGAAAGGGAGCAACAGAAAGAAAGTTAGAGGCAGTTTGCTGTGAGATGACAGTAACACTGCTACCGACACCTTTTCAGTGCATACTAAAAAAGTATCAAGGTGTAAACCTGTGATAGTGACATTTTATTTGAACGTGTGCTGTATGCGTTCATATGTTCCATTCATAATGTCCACAATCAGGGATGAAAGGCTGGCTCTTGTCTGTCAATGTGTAATCACGTCTGTGTTCAGACCTACCAGCTGCCTCCTGTTCCTCTTCCAGGTCTCTGCTTTCCTCTTGGAGTTCATGTTCTGGAAGGCTGTGGAGACAGAACAGCTCAGTATTAAAAGCTGAATACTGATGCATTAAACCCCCCAAATATTACATACAGGCTAACCAGTGTGGCATCATTCCTGCTTTAGTTTAGCCAGAATTGTTTTTTACAGGGAATAAATACAATTAAAGATTGGTGTTTTAATTAAATGAATCATAAAACATGGACAGATTGGAGTGGCTGCATGCAAGTTATGGTGGGAATAAATGGAAGGGGTTGCCTTACTTTGCTTACTGAGGTCACTGGGCAGGCTGTGGTTCAGGTTCTTGTAGAACTCAGTACGGTGAGCCCTCTTCAGCCCTGTGCACAGACCAAAGTCAGACAGCTTCACATGACCCTGGAAACACAAAATACACCATAATAAGCACTGGAGCTGGGGTCACAACACCCAAGGCTGAGAAACTGCTCTATAATAGTCTACTTAAAAATGGAAAGTTGGCCATGACTCACCCTGGAGTCCAGCAGCAGGTTGTCTGGTTTGATGTCTCTGTGAATGAAGCCCAGCTGGTGAATGGAGTCGATGGCCAGCACCGTCTCTGCTATGTAGAACTGAGTAGCCTCTTCTGTTAGCGTGTCCTTCTTCATCAGCAGGGTCATCATGTCTCCTGCACCACAACAGCACAAACCACAGTTACACTGGCACTTATGTCCCTGATGGTTTAGGAACGCTGGGGGCTAGGATAAAGATCTCTTCTGGTTAGAAGTAAGTGATGTGATGGGTTCTGGTCTCCCCACAGTATTGTGTAATAGGGTCATACCTCCAGGCAGGAACTCCATGATGAGGTAGAGGTTCATCTTATCCTGGAAGCTGTAGAACATTTTGACCACCCACAGGCTATCTGCCTCTACCAGAATGTCCCGCTCAGCTCGGATATGACCAACCTAACAAAACAAGACACACGCGGGTTCAGAGATGTCCAACAGACACAACAGAAGCATTCCAGCGTGTGCATTCTGCTGCCTCACCTGTTCTTTCTCCAGCATGTCGGCTTTGCGAAGGATCTTCATGGCGTAGACGTGACCAGTGTCTTTCTTCTGCACCAGACGAACCTGGGGGCAAACACAACAACCCTTATACCAATCTGACAGAGACTTGATCTAGGGTTGGGCGACTGGACAAATATATTGGCTATGTCGGTTATTTTTTGTCCTTTTATTTAGCTCATTTAGTGGTCTGCCTCCAAATAACGAGAGCCGCTGCTTAGCGACAGACACTCATTCAGCAGCGCAGTACACACACTGAGCCGAAGGCCGAGTGAGAGGAAAAACAGCTGGAGAGCCAGAATCTCTTCACATCTAACTCTGTGAATTGAGGGTTTATTTCCACCTGTTTGACAACAGGGAATACAGTTAGGAGGTGATTTACAGTGGCCCCAACCAAGACTCAGAGGGTTTTTATTTAAATAACTTCACAAACATTCATGTCTTTCATAGAAGATAAAGGCTTCGATTAGTTTTGTATAAGAATTCAAAATTAACTCTATTGTGGCCCGATAATTTAGCAGCTGTGATTTAATTATCAGTATAATTCATAATATAAATTTTTCATTATGGGCTGATAATTTATCTGTCCCGATAATTATCATTCATCCCTTAAAACTGTCATATCAAATCAAAAAAAGGTGTATTTCAACTGATACGTGGTGGATTTTGGTGGAGGGGCAGACAGGGAGGCAGAGCTTCTCTGTCTCTTTCTCTCTGTCTCTGTCTCTCTCTTCTCTCTCTCTCTCTCTCTCTCTCTCTCTCTCTCTCTCTCTCTCTCTTTTCTCTCTTGCTTTTCTCTCTCTTTGCTCTTATTGTCTGTCTCTCTATCGTTCTACTCCTAGTGTGTAATCTTTGTTAAAAACACTCTTGGGATAACAATGGCACATGGGAATCATGTTCCAAGTATTTATGTAAAAGGTTTTTACCTCTCCAAAAGCTCCCCGGCCAATCACCTTCAGGGACTCAAAGTCCTCCAGACCCAGTCGAGTGCGTTTCAGGCGCAGGAACTCTGTCTCTTTCCTTGCGTGTTGAGAACGACGCATACGTTTCTGCACAGCACAGACACCACTTTTAAAATAACACATTCATAACTGCATGTTTCCAAAGCAATAACTAAAAATCACTATTTTACACTTCTTAAGGATCTTGTGATGGCAGTGTAATGAGAGTTCTGTCACGTGTGTGAGTGACTTTAGCTCAAACACATTATTATTATTATTATTATTATTATAAATGCTTACTGTCCACTCAAAGGAAATAAACACAAACTGATTCAGCAGATCTAAAAACAGTGTGAGTTCTCCCATTCTGCCACAAAGCATGCTGGGAAAACACTGCGGGTGTGTGATTGTCTCTCACCTCTTCATCAGCCAAACCCTCCTGATCCATCACTTTCTCCAGCTTCTGCTGCCTGAAAAGACGATCTGAGCATTAGAATTTGTTTTAAAGCCACAAAGTAGTGTACCACATCCCACCAAAGCAGCTATGTTGGCAAGACCAATCTTCATCAGGTATACTCAGCATAAAACCAATAAGGTCTCTATTTACACTGTTGACAACACCAACATATATCCACTCCATTTTTTACAATGTTGACAATGGGAATATAAAGATATATCGCGATACAGACGTAAAGATTCTAATAGGGGAGATGAAAAATGAGTCAAGATATCAAGACAGTTACATTGTTACAGAAAAGAATGCTTATTTTTGCAGTTTATAGCCTACCCCAGAAATAGAAAAGGATTCTATAATTTAACAAAACTTTTTTTAAATAAAAAAGGGAAAAATTTTTTTTCTCTTTTTTTTAAAAAAAAAAAAAAAAAAAAATTTTTAAAAAAAAAAAAAAAAAAATTTTTTAAAAATAGTTATTTTATTTTTAATTCCTCCTTTTTAAAAAAAAAAAAAAAAAAAAACATTTCTCTAAAAAAAAAAGGTTTTTTTTTTTTTTTTTTTTTTTTTTTTTTTTTTTTTTTTTTTTTATTGATTAATTAACCAAAGGGATGCAATCAAATACTACCATTCTTCTCAGGCTCAGGTGGCTTAACACTGCAAACGTGTTGCCACATCTGTAATAACATGTAACACAGATGTTTCTTATAGTAAAAACATACACACTGTGTAGAAATAGTAGTAAGCTTCTTTGATTTGATACACATAAAAAAACAGAGATGCTGGTGAGCCTCAAACCCACATGGTGAACCATGCATTTGTGTACTGTTAAACCCAAATCAGGGGATTGAATTCTGCATTTTTCGATTTTATTTTATTTTTTAAATCACCCAGCCTCTATACTAAACCAAATCAGGAGTAAACTCTGATGTAGCTTGTCACAACAGGAAGTGACCTTGCCTCAGTTACATTTTGACATAAGCCACACTCGCTGATGAAACACAAACATGTGAAAAAAATATAATGTTTAATATATTTGTGTGTGTATCACGTTATAAGTAGAAGCATTAATCATTTTTCACTTTCACAAATATTAAATTGGTACTATGTTTTAGCCTAGTATAACAACATCATGAACATCAAAAATCTGTGCTGCAAATACTACAAACTTGTGGATGTTACCTCATCTCTCTCTCCTCGTGCTGGGCGATGAGGTTACTGTAAAAGTTCTCCAGGGTCACTTTGGCCATTGTGACCCGCTCCTTGGTGTGGTTACTCATGGAGGAGCACGAGCTCTGGCCAGTCATTGCCATGCTTTACCTGCCAAGACACACAGTGGATGAAGTGAGCACAGTGCAATACAGCCCCTGTCAGTGCATGCTGCTGGAAATACACACAATCAGACTGCTGCCACATAGCGGAGAAGAAACACTGTACCACTGAGGAGTACACGGTATTAAAACATAACTTGTTGTAATGCTAAAGTCAGACATTACAAAACTGAGCTGAGCTCTAAAAAAAATGGAACTATGAAAGGAGATGACTACTGGCCCAGAAAAAGGGGAAGGAAAGCTGCTGGTTCTGTTGCCAGAGCAGCAGCATTGTGAAAGAGCAGTGAAGAAGAAGAAGAAGAAGAAGAAGAAGAAGAAGAAGAAGAAGAAGAAGAAGAAATTATGGGGAAATCTGATTTGTGCAAATCCTTACAGATAGGAGTTTTTATGCAAGCTGAGCTTCATTAGGTTTCTAGACTTAAAGCTGCAGTAGGCTTTATCATTTAATTAGAATTCTGATCGAAGTGTGCACACACCCCTTTGTATTTAGGCTTTTGTAAAACTGGTCCCAGTCTGAATCAAACAACCAATCAGAGTTAGGTTGCACATAATTAGCCAATCATAGCGACTCTGTACAAACAAGGGCCATCCAAGTTCTATGTGTCTTGGTTCTTGCTCTCTGCTAGGCTCACTCAGAAGTTGTGTCAAGAGCTATGGCAATTTGTGATACATTTCCAATACCTCCTTTGCCTACAGCGGTGTATTGTATGAAAAAGCCAAAAGAAGGAAGAACATGGAGGAGAAGAGCGAGAAAAAGAAAGCGCTAAATAGAAACAGAGATCAGATAAGGTCAACGTCGGAGCGGAGTTATACGAGGCAGCTGAGAGAGGCTTTGCATTGTGTATGTTCAAGCTGCCTCCTGCAGTTTTAATGCAAATGTAAGGGTTGTACAACAACAGAATCATATCAGAATCCTTCAAATACAGCCCTGCTCACCATTATTGGCACCCCTTCATTTTTTGCATAACCTCTACAATATCTTCAGAAATAAATAGAAATGTACCAAATTTATATCAGGATCTTTTAATTGGAGGTCCAAAGTAATTTAACAAAATTGTTTTTTCAACTGACATATTGTAATTTCAAAGAAGAAACAGGAAAAACAGCATGTGCAGCAATAATGGCACCCCTCTTTAATATTTGGTTGCACACCCGTTGGCAGTGATGACAGCTTCCAAACGTTTCTTGTAGCCATCTATAAGCTTCTTGCACTTCTCAGCTGGTATTTTCTCCCACTCTCTTTGCAAATTTTTTTTTTTTTTTGCAGGTTTCTTTTCCCCAATGGCAGATTTCAGCTCATACCAAAGATTTTCAATCAGATTGAGATCAGGACTCACTGCTGGCCATTTTAAAACACTCCATTTTTTCCTTTTCAACCATTCCTGCATGCTTTTGGATGCGTGCTTTGGGTCTTTGTCTTGCTGGAGGACCCATGATCTTCAACTCAAACCAAGTTGTCTTACACTGGGTAGGACTTTTCGCTCTAAAATCTCTTGATAATTCTCTGATTTCATGATTCCTGTGATACGGTCAAGGCCTCCAGTACCAGATGCAGCAAAGCAGCCCAACAGCATTATGGATCCTCCACCATGCTTAACTGTTGGTAGGGTGTTCTTTTCCTTTAGGCTTCATTGCACCGTCTGTAAACAAACTGTTGGTGTGCATTGCCAAAAAGCTCTATTTTTGTTTCATCTGTCCACAGAACATTTTCCCAGAAGGATTGTGGTTTGTCCAGGTACTCTTTGGCAAAGATTAGTCTTTCCTTTTTATGTCTTTTCCTCAGCAATGGTGTCTTCCTTGGCCTTCGCCCATGAAGCCCTGTTTGGTTTAGTGTGCGGCGTATGGTACTTGTTGAAACCATGACCCCAGACTGTTCCAGGTTGACCTTCAGGTCTTTGGATGTTTGACATGGTGTTTTGTCCACCATTCGCACCAACCTTCCAAGACTTCTCTCATCAATTTTTCTCTTCCCCCTACATCCAGGGAGGTTCTTGACAGTTCCATGCTTGGGAAACTTCTTAATAACATTACGCACTGTTGAAACAGGGATACCAAGGTCTTTGGAGATGGCCTTATACCCTTTGGAGGTCTTGTGTTTGCTAATTATCGCACTTCTGATGTCCTCAGACAGCTCCTTTGTCTTCACCATTGTGACAAAGGAACAGGGGATAACAGATGGCTTTTTAAAACACGGAAGTCATCATTCATTGGCTAATTCATGTCACATGGGCACAGACAATTTATCACAGGTGATTCTCATTTGTGATCACAATGTGTTTCCATACTGATTTACAGCAAAGGGTGCCAATACCAGTGACACAGCAAGCTTTAAGTTTTTCTATTTTTTCCTCCCATTGTTTATTGTTTTAAGTTGTTGTTTATCATTTGTTCTTTTGTATCAAACACGAGTTCTCTATAGAACAGAAATGTTTCACTTGATTCATTTTTTTCAGAAGATATTCCACATTATGTACTTAAACTTAATGGGTGCCAATAATGGTGAGCAGGACTGTAAATGTATCACATGGCTTCATTCATTTTGTAGACTATAAATACTGCAATGATGAATGGTTTCATTCATGCAGTTAGCATGAAATCTAAAGGTTTTTATTAAAGGTTAGGTTTAGATTTTTACTTGCCTACATTGAAAAGCTATTTGATGCTGTAATAACTCAACTGACCCTGTCATTTTTTAACTTTGTTCTGCAGTCTGTATGTTTATCTGGCAGCATTCGTTGCAGACTTGGGTTGTGTCTTTAGTGTTGGAGAATTGTTAACCTCGTAAGACTGCTCACTGTAAAGTGACTTTGGTGCTTGTTCAGACATAGGACATGAGGATTTTAAGTTAGATATTAACTTGCTCAAAAATCTCTGTGGTGGTGGTGGTCAGAGTTTGGCCCACCTAAACCGCAGATCATTAAAGCAATCACACTTCAATGAACAGTTTCAGGTTACTATGAAATGTTGACCTCGCCATATAAAATAGTCCAGCCATCGTTTGCATTAGTTCACGAACTGTCAAGTAAGTTTTTGGTATGATACAAAACCGTTCAAACACAGCCTTTAATGGCCTGAAAGTGCCTGTCAATGACAGTAAAGCCAACTGTAAAACGTGTAGGAATTACACGTAGAAGGGGAAACACTGATAATAATAGAATGTGTGTTCCGCGTTACGTGTGATGTGGCCTTAAGTTACATTTGTACAGAATTTAAACGAGAGCTCACCGCGACGTCCTCCGTAAAAACACAAAGACGACTTACAGATATGGAGGCTATTGACCAAACGTGAAAGGTGAAGTTATCTAGTTGTGATCAGAGAGACGGACCCAGCCAGTGTCAACAACACGGAGCTACCGAAGTTGTTAGTTTCGGTTGCATCGCAGCCATACGTGCCATCAACTACCCGAAGAGCAAAGGATTATGAACAGAGAGTAATTTAACTCAGCACTTAACACTCTTTAATGTAACCTCGGTTCAATTATAGTTTATCATTTTAAGTTGGTTTAGTTTCCGTTAGGCTAAAACCTCATAAACATATGCTTTAACCTGCTAACATTAGTTAGCTAGCAAGTTAGCTATTAAAGTTCCTGCATGCGTCAAGTCAGGCAGAGACAGCATGAGGAACACTGAACGCTTCCTTCAAAATACAACTATCACGTTTCTAGGAAAGACAGGTTCATGCCTTTCTCGTCATTCCCAACTTTATTTTGAAAATTGGAACCGGAAATTCTCGACTTTAATTTTTATGAACTCGACAACTTGAAGTTAACAGCTAAGGGAAAGTTAGCTAGTAAACGTTAGCTACTTATCTGCTAAAATAGCTCGAGTCGTTTGTATTGAAATAGAGCACCATACGCCAGAGGGCGTTCACAATTCATTTAGTAGGATAATTAACTAAAGAAAACGTTCAACATATTATCTTCTAGATCTTTCATTCTCTATTTTTCTTCTTGTTCTTTGTTCACTTACCTTGGTCGAAGGTGCGGTATCTGCCGTCTCTTCCTCTGCTTTGCCGAGCCTTGCGTCACCATCAATTTGAACTCAGCCATGACACCTAGTGGTCAGTATAGACTGGGGAAAGTTTCAAATAAGGTGTGAAGTGTCTGAAAAACCTTGTTCTTGTCTGTCCCATGGATGTATGAAGAGAGAAAACGTTTTTTCCCTTTCTTGTATTTAATGATCATCAAGTGACACAAAAACATGAGGAATACCGTTAGTAAGAAGAATAATCTTTATTTGACTTTATTAACCCCCAATTAGGAAATTATTCTTTCACTCAAATGATTTTACACACATACAGTCACACACACTCATGGACATGGTTGAGTGATGGGCTGCCTTGCTCAAGGGCACCTCTCCAGCTACCTGTCCACACTCCATACTGTGGTTCATGCTGGACTTGAACCTGACAACCTTTAGTTCCTAAGCCAAGTCCCTATGGACTGAGCTACTGCCGCCATAAAGAAGAGAACAACAAAGTGAAATGGTATACAGACACATTTCAATTACAAATAGGTTTTTAAGGCATTGTAGAAAGAACAGAATACTCTGAAAGATCAATTGTTTTTTTAAGGAAGTAGTTTACATATATAATTTTAAAATACAATTCATTACAAAGTTGAAATAGATGAATAATTAAGAAAAAACAATTATTTTGTGAAGTTAAGATGGCTTGACATTTTTTCAATTGTAAAACATATGTATACCTATTTTTAAAATTAGCTACATGCTCTCATAACTTAACAGAAATAAATATCAAATGTAATCAAAGGTTAATAAACAAAACTGTTGTATGTGTTTTTGTATTTACTGCAACGTTTACATTGGTTTTTTCCCCTCAAAGATAGAGACAGACAAGGGCAGCATCATGTATGATGTTTTTGGATTAATATTACTGCTGCATTAAAGGTCCAGTGTGTAACATTTAGGAGGATCTATTGTCAGAAATGGAATATAATATTCACAGGTATGTTTTTTATTAGTGTATAATCACCTGAATATAAGAAACATTCTGTTTTTGTTACCTTAGAATGAGCTGTTTTTATCTATAGAGGGAGTGGGTCCTCTCCTACAGTCTGCCATGTTGAACTGCCATGTTTCTACGGTAGCCCTACAGTTTTAAGCGTTTTTTCAGAGTTTCGCAGACATCATAGTTTCTCCTTCGCGTTTGGAATGGGAGGGTGAGGCAAGGGCGTTGCATACCCAGTGAATAAATAGTCAAGTGGTTTTCAGATCCTGTAACCCACTATATGCCACTGAATCCCACACTGATCCCTTAAATGGGTTCGATAGACTATTCTTCAGCAGAAAGAAGTTCCACAGTCTATTATACAGACATTGTGCCCTTTTGTATTTGTATCAGTACATACCCAGTTAAAACAGAGAACTAGCTTAATTTCCATTTTTGTTCATGGAAAGGAAATAGGTTTTAGCTATTTGTCAGTCACAAATAAGAAGGAAACAAAGGAGAGCAACAGAGAGATATATAGATAGATAGTCCATACAAACACAAAAGGCTTCCAGCCCTGGGGGCCCTGTTGCCTAGGTTAAAAAAGTAGTCTTTATTTGAAAGGATTTTCCTACTCATCAGTGTTCACAGGCTGAGAACCAACTGAAGTCTGTCATCTCTGCCAGTGTTTCACAGAGTAGCAGCAACACAGCAATACATTAATTCACAATCATTATTTAAAACTGTCACAGGAAATAAAACACACAGTGCAACATTCACATATGTACTCCTTTATATACACCCAGGGTCCCACACTCGGCTAGTGTTTCTTTGTCTTCTCCCTTTTCTTCTTCTCTTGGTATTCAAGGATCTTTGTGTGAAATATTCCTGCAGGACAAAGGACAGGAAACTGAATCAGTGCACGGTCACATATATATAATATATAGCATATATATATAACCAAATATATATATATATATATATATATATATATATATATATAACCCGATATATATAACCGAAACTACACTATGTTTGAAACAACATTTAAGTTAACTAAAACAAATGAAAATGTACAGGGAATGTCTTTCTTTCTTGTCTTGTCTTGTCAACACAACAAGCATGGGGAGGCACTGGTGAACTCAAACTGGAACGAATACTGAAACTAATAAAAACTAAACTGAAACTAAACATTTTTCAAGGGGGAGCCGCATCTTGTCAGTCATTCCTAAGTCACCATGGCTGAAGGCTCGACTTGCTCATTGTATCCCCCACAAATAACTATGTGTGAGTTCCAAACTAAAGACAGAGAGAAGAGTTGCCTATCTGTCATTAAATGTAAGGTCCAGTGATTGCAGTATGTTAAAGTGCCATTATAAGAGTTTTGAGCATATTTTGATGAGTGTCACCATTACATAGTTGGTCTACCAGTACAGGGACACTGACACGTTGACTTTTACACTGTAAAATGTCATGCTCACTACATATATTGGACACAATAAAGGTCGGGGACATAGGAATTTAGCGATATATCGCAATACACATATATGAAGATTCAGATCAGTGATATGAAAAATGAATTGCGATATATTTTTTAAACAGCTGAGGGCGCTATCTACTTTTGACTTTGCTTGTTTTTGACGTCCTAAATCACTCACGTCAGTAGCTGTATCGAGGTGCAAAGACATGGCGGCTGCAGGTGAAGACTTTGAAATTAAGGATACTCAGTCTTGTTTTTTTGTGTGAGAAATAAAGGAATTGATTGAATTTATTGAAATTTCAATCTCATTTTGTTATATAGAGTCGTGAGAAAATCATATGTTGAACCCAGTGTTGTGAATTGTATGCGATCATACAATACATGTATTGTTACATCCCTACTGGTACATAATTACTGATGTGATTCTGGGTTGATGTTTCCATATGTAAATCTCGATAAACAGAGCTCTATAAGATGCAGTGAGGCAGTTTACTGAAGTCATATCCATACACATATCTGACAGCAGTTCTATAAGGAATCTAGATCTGGATCTTTGAGTTGAAAGATTTGTTGACGGTGTGTGTGTGTTCCCAGTCCTCACCCTGCTGTGGTCCAGTCTGCTGCTGCTCCACCTCCTGGATAAACAGGTCAAACATCTGCGTCTGGATGAACTTCTTGACAAAGTGTCGAGTGGTCTTGGAGTCAATGGCCTTGTAGAAACTTCTCTTTTCAAACACGCCCTGCTGTCCAGTGCGACCGCGTTTCACATATGAGGCGTAATGGCCGACTGTTTTCACAAAGAAGTGCAGGAAGGCTTCTGACACCACCCGGTTCAGCTCCTCTGCCGCTGAAAGAAAGGACGGGAAACATTTGTGATGATGGAACTATATTCCTGTGTTTAACTTTGGTTTAAGTTTACTCACTTGATGCTTGCTGCCTGTTACTTAGTTCCTCTAGTATTTCAGTTTGGAGCTTCGGGGGCAGAATAGACCCTTCATCACCAATCTAGATAAGGAAGATTTCACAGTTTGCATTAACACCAAATGGCTGTTTCATATGGAGGATGATCAACAGGTTTTGTTTATTTTGTTGATCCAACACTTACTGAAAAAATAAAGGTCTCCTTCTTTTCCTCAGACAAGTCGACCACCAGCAGCTGTTACAGACAGAATAAAAAAAAAGGTGTGAGGTGAGGAGGTCAGTCCAACGTTAAAGATGTTTGTCCTTTCTATCTTTACCTGTCCAATTAAAGAAAGGCATAAAAAGCCCCAAAATATCTAAGACAACTGTTTTTAGTTTTTTTATGTTCTTAATGATAACTCACATCACATGGGTCCGTGACCTGGTCCAGAAGGCGTTTCTGGACTCCCAGCAGGTAGGGGGTAGGTGCCATCACTACATCGATCAGGATCTCTGGAACAATGGAGATGAAGGTGTGCTGCCAGGTGAAGGGGTAAAGGAGGGCTGCTACTGCATGAATGACTTGGGACAATGTGCTGTAGAGAGACAAGAGAGCTGACATCAGAACTCATTATATGTTTAGTTATGTTACTGAACACTTGCTTTATTAGCTGGAAGGCTTTCGTGAAACGTTTGCACAAACAGTTGAGTTTCACTGTTTAAACGGAAAACAGGGAAAATTGAGAATAAAGTTGTCTCTAATAGAAGCCTGGTTCTTCCTGCAGTTGAGGTGAAGAACTAGAACAGCCAAGATAGAATTTTAAACATATAGGCACTTTCAGGAATGTCAGACTGAGGATAAAATCTTGAAATTGATGTACAAATTCATATTTCAAAGCCATCTGTGATTAAAGGCCACTGTACGTTGCCCGAAGGCTCAGTCAGGCTGCTGGAGACCCGCTGTGGAACACTCAAGGCTCTTTTCTGCATTCTGCTATTTTTATATGCCGGCCTTCTTTGGTAAAGGGTCAAATGAATATATAATCGTCAACTTGCCACATCCAGCTTGCAGAATGGTCACTGATTAAAGTCTTTGTTTATATATTTACAGTTTGAACTGGGTGTCTGTGGTGAAATTCCAGGAAAATTTACTGCTAATCCAACCTGAACATTACCTACTGCTGCAGCTTCACGTTTAAAGCGTTTAACTGAACACAAGTTAACTTTTATTATGAAGTAGTCACAGGAAATACCAGGTGTGTCAGTAAGTTGTGTCTTAAACTCTGACAACAGTCATTTTGAGCATTTTCTGACAGTGGATTAGTCTGAAATATTGCAGGGAGTAATGGAACAAGAAGGAGCCATACATTTGAAAAATTTTGGCTCTTGGACAAATGCAGTTACTGGCCTCTGCTTTACATTCTCTGACATGAAGCAAAACCTGTTTTTCTTGTTTATTTACCTCCAAAGTCTGTGAAGCAGGAAAAGGAATGCTAAATTTTTTCCTCAGATAATATTTACTACTGTGGAAATACAGGCGGAAAATAAAGATAATATGGCGTGCAACGTAAAGTACTGCTACAATGTATCTGTAACCACATCCATTATACTCGAGCTACGATCGATGCTGCTTTGATTCCAAGACTCACTTTATTCATAAAAAGGGAAATCCAGATTGTTTTTCTTAAGGAAGGTAAGAAGTTTTGATGTTGACCAGCCTCTATTCAAAGTCACCATCACTGTCTATATTCCTCCGTCTGGGAAAGCAGAAGCAGCGTGTGACGTCATCCACACTGTGACTGCAGGACTACAAACGAAACACCCGGAGGCCTTCATCATCATCACAGGGGACTTCAACCACGTTTCTCTCTCGTCCACACTCCCAACCTTCCACCAGTTTGTCACATGCACCACCAGAGACAATAAGACCTTGGACCTGCTGTATGAAAATTTTCCTGTTTTTTATATCTGTATTTATTTCACTCAGATGTTGCTGTGACAAGTGAATTTCCCCATTGTGGGATTAATAAAGTTATTTATCTTTCTATATGTCTTTCATTGAGTCAGGTTGAACATTTGCTATGATCTGTTGGTTTGGTAATCTCAGTGTGAACCACAAAAAACTTGCTGGGTAAAATTGTGTGCGATAAAGTCACTGGTTTACACTTTAAGGATCTTTGCAACTTGTATCTGGTCAGAACCAGAGAGCTGTGGTGTCTCAATTATAAGAGTAAAGAAAAGTTTTTGCTGCCGTTTCTGATGGTTTTGGTGTCAATAACAACAATGGCGCTGATAACCTGCATATTTTCTTGTATTGATCACTGTCTTTATTCATTGTTGTATGGTTTTGTATGCCTTGTATAAAGGTGAGTGTTCAATACCCCAGTTCATCAGCGATGAAAATGATCCGTCTCTCCAGGACAGCAGCGGCAAACACCAGTAACACCTCCTCGTCCGTCAGGCAGTCGAAGAGCTTGCCGAAGTTCACGTGTTCCAGCCAGGAATCCAACGGCCGGGTCAGACGGATTATCTAGATGAGAGTCACCATGATCACAAATATGTCAATAGTTTGCTGTTGACTACACACTGACTTTCGACTCTTAACTCACTGCTGTCTGACTCTGAAGGCTCTAAAAGCATTATTCTACTCTAAACAAAGGGTTTTCATGATTTATTTCTTTTTACTTTTACATTATTGGACATATTTAGAACAGTGCCTTCACTGCTACCATGAACAAGAGTCTTTACATAGCCAGAGAAGCATATCTTTGTCCTGCCTTCTCCCTGAGGGCAGGTCATGGTAACTAGCACAAACAATGGCCAGCATCAGGGATTACTTGAGATGACAGTGAGCTGTTGAAACATGGTATGTGACCTGATGAGAGAAGTGTTAGGTTTCTGCTCTGAGGTTGGGTAATGTAGGACAAGTTCAGACACAACTCCACACAAACACACCCTCCTGGAAGATCTGACTTTATACAGTCACAGGGTTACACTGTATGCTGTGTCTCAAAGTTGCCAAGTTGGCTTATAATAATACGTCACTTTGAGCTTTTTCTTCTTTTTTAAAGTTGCTTGTTTTTTGGGCTTGGTTTGAAAAATATGGTTTGCTGTGGAGGAAAAAAATCAATAGGACTCCTAGCGGCTAACTAGCTAGCTAATGTTAGCTTTCCACCGTCTGGAGCAACTCTGTTGTGAAAAGTATCAGATGCTGTGTACGTCACATAACCAGGGACTTTTTATTTTTCCATGTCGGACGGATTCTCAAGTACTGGAAATACTGGGCGAGGGGTGCAATAAAACAGCTTTTATTTGATGAGAAATCACAGGAAGTTCTCTTTCCTAATAGTGCAAGCTTCACAGTGGAGCGTTAGCATTATTGCAACAAGCTTAGCTGGTTTGTCCAGCACCGGGTGCATGTGTGAAATACAGCAGCTGTGGATGAGAGGGGAACTGCTGGACACACATTTTAGTTCATGTCCTGCTCGTTTAACAGTTAATTGATAAATTGCTGAATAAATGCAATACAGTGAAGTTTAGAATTGCTATTTTTTTTATTTATCATTTTGGCACTGACTAAAACCTCTTTGGCAGGCATCAAAAATGTCTCTGCAAGAAAAGCCCTGGACACATAGAAAAAAAGCAATTTTGAGAAACAATAATATTTTCCTGATAAATTTAAATGAAATATTGTGGTTTTATTGAGATTAGATTTGATTTTAATTTTTAGAGTGCACTGTCAGAAGAAAGTACCCCCACACAATATGTTAACATTGTTAATTTATACCAAATAATATTACCTACTCTGATTTATTATTGTTTTATAGACGATAAAATAAAATAAATGAATGGAGCACAGGATTCTTTTCAGTTTTCCTCATTTTCTTCGTATTTTCTGCCTTGCTATACAGATATCACCAGATAATGTCAGCATCAACCCTAAAATACAAGAATACCCACCGGAGTAGTTTCACTTTAATATACTACAGGCTCATTTATTGAGCTCATGTATTAGTCTCCAGAGCGTTGGAAACACTGTTGTGTGAGTAATGACACAGCTGCACTCATGTTTATCAATTCTAAAGAACTAGGAACCCTTCTTATCTCCCCAGTTCTTTGGAGCCTAAAAATAAGGCTCTCCCGTCTACAGTAATGACTTTGCGTTTTCTACGCAATGTTTTCCTCTTGGGTCACTGAATGTAGTCATACTTCCTGAAAGTCCCAGTCCCAGTCTTTACAGGAAGATTTGGGGAAATCCTCTACATAACGATAGAGGGAGATTCCAACCACACTTATCAAAAGTTATAAAAGTTGTAGAATAAGTTCACACACAAGTATGTTCATAGTTCACAGTCCCAGAACAGGAACAATTCACTCTAATTTCTTTCTTCTTTACAAAATGCTGTGAGTGAGACTTGCTGTTGGCTCGTGGTCTTACTCTTTGTTAATGATTCATTGTGATCGTCATTCACTTAATGAACCAGCTTTCCACTGTTGAGTTTCCTCTCTCTTCAGAGGTGCACTGATGTGATCAGCAGAACCAGAAAATGAAAGTGAAACTTCAAAAAGTTCCATCTGGCATTGTTTCCTTGTGTACTCCTCTGTTCTGTCTTAATGGAGTTTTTATCGTGTCTCACAGGAGTTAACGACACTCACCTACTTGTTCATTAGTTTTAACAGGACACGTTGAGTTCACCATCTACCAAAAACATTAGCGTGTCAATTAACTGGGCTTGAGTCAACCAGAGCTATTCTGAATCTTTAAACTCAAACAGCTGCCACCAAGACAAAAGAGAACATACTCTGTGGATCAGCATAGTCTTTGTTTATGTAACATTAAAAGAAGAAAAAAAGCAATAACTTTTAATATGTGCTGTATATCATCAAACTTTAAGTGGACTCTTATGAGCAGAAGGGGGTAGGGTTTGGTCTGACCTCAGTGCCCGACTCAGGAATGAAGCTCTTAATCTCCACAGTGTGTCCTGGAGCTGGGAATGAAGCCTCCCTCAGCTTCTGCATGAATGGGTAGATCATGGCCATGGAAATCTGCCGCCGCTTCTCCACCTCGTCAAATATCTGCACGCACACGCACACACACGCACACGCACACACACACGCACAGGAAAAAACACACATGATACAGTACCAACAAATACTCTAAATTCACTAAAATGTATTCTGAAACATACAGATAGTCAGTGGACTATCTCAAGCAGTGAAGTAATGTGATCTTTTTTTAAATTTTACTTTAAATACATTTTGTTTAAATAAAAGTCAGTATTCAAATGTTCAATGGAGAAAAAAAAACATTGAGTGGATGGGATTACCGGTACTACAAAAATCCAGCTAATTCATTTCCACACCACTAGGTTCATCACTACAGCAACAGAGTCGTGTCATAATACCCAATCTGCTGAACTCTTTCACACCAAGAACAATAACACATCATCCACATTGATGAACAATAAATATGGGTTCACAAAGTTCTTCAAAGACCAGAGGAGTTCAGAGAATCACTCTGTTACGAGTTGTCGTCTTTAACAACAAATTTTATTCATACTGTGGTAAAGAAAGAAGATATCACTAAGGACTTTTTGACGTTTCATGTCATTTGCAGCCTAAAATGATGTTATATCTTTCATCACTCTGAAAGAGATCCTAACGATATCATTCACCACTGTCATTGTTGTTAAAGTTGTGGTGTGGACCCTGCCATCCACTTGAGTAAGAAATAACTGTTTAATTACAGATGATGACAAATTAAAAGGAAAAACCTCAATAAATGAGTGGAGAAACAATGAATGCAGATACTTCCACACAGGTCCACCACATGGTGCAATTAACATCCCATTACACTCTGTAGAATGTATAAAATGCAGAGCAGGCCCAGTTGATTCTGATTTTGTCAGATGGACACTAGAGCAGGGCTGCAGTGCATAAACCCCTCATTATAAAGATGAATGAATCAATGATAAATCTGCAGTGGTCTACAGAGATGTGAAAGGTGATTGGGTGAGTCATCCTTAACCATATTCTCCACTAGTGGGCGAGGGCGTGTGTGGCATACACCAAGAGAACAGTACAGGCCTGAGTGCTGGACCCCTACAGTGAGGTGATCCGGTGGCCCTGTTAAGCTGTAGCGGGCATTTTGCTGGTATGGTTTGTCCCCTTACAGGGAAGGGTCACTGCAAATCAATACAAAGTCGTTCTGAGTGACTTTGGCCCGACTTGTTAAACAGCGCTCTCAACCACCACCATCATCATCACCACCATCATCATCATGGCAATTACCATTATCATAATATTACCATGCCAGCGGCTGCGCATGTATATTCAGCGGCCGGTAGTGCCTTCAAACTTTTGTTTTAATATGTTTTTTCCACTTTACTGCTGAAACCATCATTGAATGATAGCTGATTGGGTTTGATTTCAAATGACTAAGCCAAAATTGTTCAAATCGACTGGATCAGGAGATTTTGAGCAACGGCTGCACATTCACATGCTGCCGCTGGTAGGCTAGATCCTTCGAACTCTCTGTTTGTGTTTGTTGTAGCATGAACGAACAGAAAACTTTTACTTTGTTATAATTATGTATAATAATTAATACATTTCTTTGATTCCTTGATCAAAAGACCAAATGAGAGAATATGTTTTGGAAGATTGGTGTTCTTTCCTACAGTCAAGTTCCAGAGAATTGTAGAATCAATGCCAAGGCACACAGAAGCTGTTTTGGCAGCACACGGTGGCCCAACTAAAACACTTTATGTAGCTTTTGCCTTATATTTGTCACCTGTCTGGATTTGTCTGTAAATCTTTAAATGTTATTTCTCAATGTAAAGGTTTAAGAGCTGGTTCAAATCCTAATCCACGCTGACAGAAATAAAATTGTCATGGGGAAATACTAAATCATTCATTTTATATTCATTGGCCTTTATGTGATCTAATTTAAGTATACTGAATCTAAATATATTAGAATCAGCCTATACAATATCATTCACTGTATGTTAGTTTTTAAATTGTTGAATGTAAACTTTGAACAGGTTACTAAAACAACCCCAAATCCCTGGAAAATCCCTAAGGACAATGAAGTCCTGTCCTCTGGTTGCTACTGTACAGCCCCAATTCAGACACTCATTTATTCCCTGCAACGTTTGCCTCCCACTGCTCTTAATGTAGAGTGAGCGACATGCATCACTAAACAAATAGAAAACCACCTGACTCGGGTGTGTCTCCTAGTCACTAATCAACAGGTGATACACCCTTGATACACATATTAATCTCTCAGAAGACACAATTTAAGAAGTCTGCCAAATGATGAGCAAGTTGCCATTTTCCTAAATCTTACTGGCCAAGTATTGAACATGTCACATAGATTTGGAAACACAAGAATGATTAAACCAGGTGAAAAAATAAAGGAACAGCAGACGGGACCTGAACAACTGTTTATGGCATTTCTTAGAGCTGAAGGCTAGACAGAGAGAGGTACAGCTGAGTTTAGTCACAGTTGAACTCACCTTGGAGAAGAGGCCGAAACAAGCCAGCGAGCTGATGATACAGTAAGCCTCGGGTGGTCGAGCTCCTTTCCCTCCAGGCTGCAGATTGGAGAGTGAAAGCAGAAGATATTTAATGAACATTAGAACATGACTTCTAAATGATGAGACAGTGAAGACGCCTTCAGTCTACACACTGACCAGTAACCTCCTGCAGTATCCATTTCTTCTGCTGCCATCAATCTCAGTCAGAACAAAAGAGAAGGTCTCACTGTAAACAGAGAGAGACAACTCAGAACAAGGGACACTGGTGTACAATGAACTGAACCATGGATACAGGAATAAAGGTTATCAAAGTGAAAACTGTTGACAGAGGAGGAGCTGCACCTGTGGTACTCGGTCAAAGGAGCCCAGTTGATCCCCTCTGGGAAACAAAAGAGAGTGATGGCCTTCAGTGTCTTCTCCTCTTCCTCCTTCTGAAATTTTGCCATCCCATCTCTCTAAAACAGAAACAATAAGCTTTTCATTAATAATGTTGGTTGTTGTAATTTAAACCATCATTGCCATACTGAACAGAGCAGAAAACTATGCCTTTTCCAAGTGTAATCTGTGTCACTCAACAAACACTCAGGTGTTCCCTGTTAGACTGACTTATTGATTAAACATTCTACCATTAAACTCACCTTGGGGAACTGGTAGGTGATCTGAGGTTCGTAGCTGCTGCTGCCCTTGGCCTTCTTGAGGCTGACCACCACCAGGTACTCAAAGAAGTACTGACCGCTTAAGTAGCGGTGTTGCCTGGATGTGTCGTCTCCCACCACCGGGCCCAGCTCCTCTGTAGTTTCAGGGTCTTTGCCTCCTAGACAGAGATGTAGAAATACATTGCTTTACACTGTGATCCAGATGGAAAGGTTTACAGGCCTCATTACATTGTCACACTAGTGTAAACTGCAATGCTTTTTGACCTACAGGCCTGTGACTTTACACTCCCTGCTGTGGAGAGTGGAAAGGTTGTTGAATATGGTATGGTATGGTCTATGATAGGATGGTGGACAGAGACGGAGCTGGGTGAAATTCAGATGAGCTGGGACCAAATCATTATAAGGAATACCCTCAATAAAAGGGACACAAACAATATAGCACTTGCTCATTGTTTTTGTTTTTTTTAAGCAATAGTTGAACATCTTCTGGAATATATTTATTGAGATGGATCTCACTCTCATGCATGTGTGTTAAGTCTAGAGCTAACGTCAGGATTTGGTTAACCTAGCTTAGCACAAGCTAAACAATTCCCAAAATGTAATTATTCCTTTAAACAATTTCTCCTGCTCAGACGTGTGTTGTCCCAACTCGACGAGTCACAAAATTTAAAAACACATTTAGAATGAGAATGATGGGAAGCCACCTCATCATAAGACAAACAATTCCAAAGACCTGTAAACCTGTGTAAACTGTATGGTTTTTTTTTTATCACCGACTGGCCGGGACTTGAATGGACTCCCAACTGGTCTGATAAACTATGACTGCCAAATCATCACCATATTGTATGTAATCAGTTGAAAAGCCTTTTTCAGAAAACTCAAACAATACGTGGACCCACTATCATGACACTACTTTACAGGGTGTTCACTGGAAGTGCTTTGATATTCAGTATTGTTATATATTGTGGGTTGTGTTAACACGGAACAGTTTGCATGTGTGTAGTACGGTGGCTGGTAAGTGCAAAACAAATTAACAAACTCCGAAGCAAATTAACAAACTCTGAAACAAATTTACAAACTCTGAAACAAATTAACAAACTCTGAAACAAATTTACAAACTCTGAAACAAATTAACAAACTCTGAAACAAATTTACAAACTCTGAAACAAATTAACAAACTCTGAAACAAATTTACAAACTCTGAAACAAATTTACAAACTCCGAAACAAATTTACAAACTCTGAAACAAATTTACAAACTCTGAAACAAATTTACAAACTCCGAAACAAATTTACAAACTCTGAAACAAGTTTACAAAGTCAAAATCGTACGGAAGGGGAATGTACTAAATGCCGGATCTGACCCGGAAGTGATTGAGTGAGCGGTTTGTTGTGGAAAGAGTTGTGAGGTTTATATGGAGTTTCAAGATGTTTTGCCCGTTTTGTGGAAACCATTTGGGGCAGGTATTAAGGTTTTGTGATTCGTGTGGACGGTCTCTGGAGTTTTTAAAGGCTGCGGAGCAGACGGAAGGACCAGACATGCTGCAACATCTTGAAACTCCATATAAACCGCACAACTCTTTCCACAACAAACCGCTCACTCAATCACTTCCGGGTCAGATCCGGCGTTTAGTACATTCCCCTTCCGTACGATTTTGACTTTGTAAATTTGTTTCAGAGTTTGTAAATTTGTTTCAGAGTTTGTAAATTTGTTTCAGAGTTTGTAAATTTGTTTCAGAGTTTGTTAATTTGTTTCAGAGTTTGTAAATTTGTTTCAGAGTTTGTTAATTTGTTTCAGAGTTTGTAAATTTGTTTCAGAGTTTGTTAATTTGTTTCAGAGTTTGTAAATTTGTTTCAGAGTTTGTAAATTTGTTTCAGAGTTTGTTAATTTGTTTCGGAGTTTGTTAATTTGTTTTGCACTTACCAGCCACCGTAGTGTAGGCCTGTCACAAAAACTACTTTTGTTAGACAATATACTATCCCACAAATAATTGCTATAGACATTATTATTATCATTTTAAGACCACCTTATGACACTTATAAAATGATAAGCATAATATCGCAAGTACACCATTTCAAAGGACAATTAACCTCTAATTCTTAAGGATATTCAGACATTGGAATGTGAAAACAAAATATTAAAATATCCTTGACAATAAAACATAAATAAAACCATACAACAAAAACAATATATAAATGGACTCTTGCACTCTGTTGACAAAAACTGCACTTAAATTTGGCACAGGGTTGGACTTAAGAGTCATTCACTACTTAAAAGGCTATATAGTAATGCTAGGCAAAACCTTGATGTTTTTTTTGGCATCATTTTGGCTCAAATGTTGGTAACATACTTAAACAATAAGTTGATATTGTGATAGGAGATAATTACACATTGTATATATCGTACGCTAAGTTGATAACATAATTACTGTGACAGGACTACATGTGGTGTGTGTGGAATTCTTTCAATGAAGTTAATATTATAATTAAGTAATATTTTCTATATCCTATAGTTGGAAACTGGCGGGAGGATTCAACTGACAGTTGAATATGGTTATATTTATCCTCTCTTTGGATGGAATATGTTATTCTGCTGACAGAATTATTTATCTACAGTGTTTACAACAGAAAAGTTTGCCCACAGACATTGGCTCTGACACTACTGTTGACTCGACTGCTTAGTACAGAGTCCATTATTCACAGCCACACTAACCGCCTGGTGTCCTTCACACACTGCCAGCCTGCATGTGTTCTCTGCTGCATTCCTCCCTTTTTGTCTAAAATAAAAGCCCACCAGCAAGGAGTTCTCGGGTTGGCAGCCTTGTGTCTGTGTGTTTTGGCCTACTGGTACAAACCCTACCACACTCACATGCATAAAAAGTTGGCCTATGTGCAGTTTGATGATCATTAGGCTTGTTTTTCCTTTTAGGGTTTAGGGTATGTAGAGATATGTTCCACCTGAAAAACCCCTTCCTTTGACTTGAAAGGAATCTGTGAAATTGGGAGCTAATACTAAGCTGAGCAAAGTTTTAGTAAAAACATGACAGTAAACTGTTAATTGGAATGACTGCTATGAGTCAGCTGTGTTGAGACTGTTCTTGAGATTGTTGCCACACTGACAGAGTGCTTTGTGTACCGACTGTATTAACAACACATGTTGCTGGTCTTCCTGTGTTGTACAAATGTATCTGTCACAATCCAGATGTGAAACCGTTGCTTATCCACCGAGTTACCAGAAAAACAGAAACCAATGCACAGTGTATTCAATCCAGTAACAGTGCTGGAAGAAATACCTTAGTGAAACTTGTGTCGTGTCACCATCCTATGCAGACTGTTTCTGGCTTCTACTTTCTGTGTCTATTTTGGGTCAGACTCATCTAAAACCTACACCACCAAGTAACTCTTATTATTCTCTGTATTACTTAATCATGATCTAAGTTTTGGAAATATAGTTCCCATGATGCATTTGGGGATGTAAACAGGAAGTTTAATTTTAGTAAGAATTTTTTACATGCGTTTTTTTCCCTTTTCATTGAATCTTACATTTTGGCAGATTGGAACGATTAAAAGTATGATGAATCAGCTATTAGCAGTTCCTGTTTGCAGTGTACCCATGGGTGTACGGACAGCTGTCACTGGTTTAATGATACTGAAGAAAACTCAAATTCTGGGTCATGAAATAAACAGATCTGAGTCAAACAAAAAAAATCTGATTTGGGCTGCTTCTGCAGTGAGAACGTAGCCTAAAGTAACGGTGAGTAAGAGGAAGTACTTCATTCAATCATCTTTCTTCGATGTTGTTATGTAATATAATGTAATACTCACTATCTCTTTTGCCTTTGCGGAAGGAGGACCACATGGCACTAAACCTCTTGAGGGCCCCTTGTCGTCCACCTTCATCTTCCCCTGATGGGATGTCTGATGGAGAAACAAAACCAGCAGCTCAGCTACTCAGTACTGAAACCTTCAAACAACAATGTTACACAAGTGCTGACAGTAGTACACTAACACCTTTATATTATATATATATATATATATATATATATATATATAAAAAAGGTATATACTGTATAGTATACAGATCAAACACTGAGAAGTAGATTATACTGCAGAAATCTTCTTTGTTACGGGAATCTATTCTAACAGATGCTGCTCTTTATTGCAAAAGCTGTACTTTAGAGTCACCTTTTAAAGTAATATTCCACTGAAACTCTGTCTTCTGGTTAGACTGCTGATGTAAAATAGATAGATGTTAAATGACATATTCCAATTATTTTGACTTCATATGATAACATGATTAAAGTAAAAATCTTATCTTTCCAGTCAAAAGAAACATAGATAGTGGATAAAAAAAAGCCTTTGTTACTCCAGCTACTGTACTTACTGTGTTTCTCAGCGACATCAGAGATGAGGTTGCCTTTGGGCTGCTCACCTAGACAACACAGAGAAAAGCAGGGTAAATAAACAGCAACATCAGTTGGATTAGGCTTTTTTGATTTGTACAAGTGACATAATGCCAGTGCTGTAGATATATATCTCTATATATAGATATATAGAGATATATATTTCTTTTTTTTTCCTGAAGAAACTCAAAAAAAATAAAGTGAGAGAAGAGTGCTTCTGAATTGTATTGGTTTCTACAACTAATCTAAAACTATTGTTTTAATTCAAAATCTACTTAGAATGGACACTGACATTGGCAGTCTGGACAGCCAATCAACGTCACTTGAAACCATATGCCTGGCTGTCAAAACTAATCTTTTTGGCAATGGCAATGGCAAAGGCATTATTTTGTCCTGTCTCTGTCTTGACTCTCTCGTTTGGACTCGAACCTCTCTGGACTCAGTCTTTACCGGTCTCAGCTAGTCCTGGTCTTGACAAAGGTGGTGCCTATGTAATGGAAATACTGTTCAAATGCCATTTCTTTCATTACATTTAGTTTCTGAGAGTAAATGGTGAGAATAAAGTATAGTCCTACAGTACCTTCACTATCCGGCTGTAGCCCTGGGTCAAATTAGCTTAAGCAGTCCAATATATGAAAGCAAATGTTTGCGGTGCATTTGCAAGCATATGTGGTCTTGGATACTGTGCAGATACTTGAAAATGACAATGGTGTGAATTTAGAATTTGAAGTCAGTTATAACTTAAGCCCTAATGTGCTAAAATAAACACACGCTTAGAGGGACTGCCTTGCAGGAATGTGTGTATAGAGCGCTGTTTTTCAGTCTGGCAGACTGATTGTAATGCTGGCTAAGTATGAGGTGAAGCTAAGGCTGATCAGCTAGCTCAACCAGGACCATGTTTGTATGGAAGGTCATATTTCCATGGTAACTTAGGTCAGACTCAATTGAACCTGCTTTATGAAACAGAATTGACTCCAGCGTACAGGTTTGCATACTCTGTGCTCTGTACCACCCAGAGTGGTCCAGTGTATTGCAGTCTTATCTATTTGGATTGGCATATGACAATGTACTGGAGCAACCATCATTAAAATCTCCCTGTTGCCTAAAAACAAAGGTTTTGCAACATAGTGAGACGATCCTATTAATGTTCTGTGTATACTGCAACAGTCTGCTGAATCATTTGTTTACTTCAGACTCTGAAGAAATATCCATTCCTTTGCTGCATTCAGGTCACGTGGGAAAAACAGCTTTCTACTGGAAAATACGGTCGACAATATCTTTCACACGGTACATAAACAACCTTAGGAAATAAGGCTTTTAAATACTATTAAAAAAACGCACAATTCATATCAGGCTTTAGTGTGTGACTGTCTGAAGAAAATATTCCTCATATTAACTTTGAGACAGCAAAGCTCGCTTCAACTCGAGTCAAGTGTATGAAATGAATTTCTAGGCAACAAATCACCACTCTTGAAATGTGCAAGCAGAGAGAGAAATTAAAAGACAAACAGAGAGAGACAGAGAAAGAGAGACACCTTCCTGAAAACAGGCACAAGTAAAAGTGAAAGTCACAAATTCTGAGTCTGTGTTAATGTTAGGTGAACTCAAGTAAAGTAAAAGTAAGCTGTGATTATTCAAACATATAGCGAAGTGAAAATGAATGTAGTCAAAAAAATAGCTTACAGTACTAATGTTTAGCTACTTATTTTATTTTTTTATTTATTCTTTATTTAAATAGTCAGCAATGGCTGACACTGAACATACAGTACTGATGTTTGATTAACTATTTACTTTTGTATATTCTTTATTTTCTAATTGGTTGACAGAGTAGTCTATACATTGTTTGACATGTTAAAAAATGTTCAACTTAATATGCTTTAATGAAGTTAAAATAAATCTGTTAGATCTGTTGTTATCTGTAAGAAAGCAGCCTTCTGAATACCTTTGCAGAGTCACATCAGAAAACACAATCCACATAGAAAAGGTCTATTTTCATTCAAACACATAAATGCACTTTATCAGCCGCCATATTGGTAGTTGAGTCTCAAAAATCCAATATCAGTCAGGTTCTAATTGTTTTGTAATGGAAAGAGACACAGTCATCTAACTCTCAGCAAGTAAACAAATTCTATTTCTTGTAACGCATTTAAACTCCAGTTCTTACACATGTTACATATTTTATCATCAGTGTTTCCCCCAGTGGAGGAAACACTGACACATCTGTAGATGACTGATAAGAAAGGTCTGGACTGCCACAGAATTTCATGCATGCGTAAGAGAAAACTGTAAATGTGAAAAAACTGATAAATGCTACAAATCCTCCTAATCACTTGTTGAAATCACTGAAGAATGAATCTGTTTGCACAACTGTTTTATGCACGAGGCCCAGTGTTTGCGAAAAAACACCTTGCTGTTGAATTTTTCAAATATCAATTTGAAGTGTTTTGAGGAGCAAAGTCAAACATCCATCCACCTCTACTGCATTGGGGTGGAGGCAGAATTTTGATAGGAAAACAGGCACAATTTATAACTATATAATTATAGATACTGGGGTGAACTTAACCTTTAATGCTTTAAGTGTGCAAATCAAGAAAACCCATTCTTGTTGGTTTTGCGGTTATCACTTCAATGTTTGGTTTACTGCCAAACACGATTTCACATTCATCATGCAGTTAGACGTATGTGTTACATTAAAAAGCTGAGTGAGCACATACAGCACACGAAGAAAGAGTTAAACTGAATGTATCCTACAAAAAAGGAATCCCACTGGACATTGTCCAGGTTTCAGTCTGGCTGACCTCCCTTGTTCCTGACAACAACTTTACTGAAGCTTAAAGTCTGTAAGTCTCTGCTGCTGTGACAAGGTGTGTGTCGCTGTGTCGGTAGCAATGCCAGTGTTTCTCAACCCAACGCCTTGTACTTGCACAACTTTGTATTCAATAAGAAAACATATATGCAGCAAAAACTATCTTAGGTTGTAGTGTAATTTATTTACTTTACATCAGAGCAGGTTTTTCCTAAACCTACACACTTTGCCGAGTTGTGCTACTGCTATTCAGCTCTGATGTGGGTGTAAATAACAGTCCTGTTGAACAGCCTCATGCCCTGAGGCTCCTGAACATGTTACAACACCATGCTGTCAATTCTATAAGAAAAGGAATGGCGCAGTCACAAAAGACCAACTAAAACTGCTTCAATCCTGTTCCCTGTTATTTTTCCCTCAGAAAACCTGCAAAATCTGTCCACTTATATTTTTATCTACCTGTACAGTTTCCAAAATATAGCCGTTTTTAGCTTCTAAATTCCGTTTCATCAGTGATCCTTCTTCAGTGTCTTCAGCCACATTCTTGGCTCGATGTGTAGACAGTCATGGAAAACCTCGCCTGGTGTTTGATGTGTTAAAGGTGTTGATACTACTGAAAACACCAGTATTTCAAACTGACTGCAACAACAGAGGCATACTTCTGATTGTAATTTCAGCTCCCGAGGCTTCAAAGTAATCCAACTTCTATACGTCTAATAAATAATATCTAAGAGCTGACTAACTGGTTTGTAGCTATATTAAAGTAGGCAACATGCTTAAGTATGAATAGCAAGTGCACTTGTCACAGTCCGAAGTCTGGTTTTTGATTGACACAGGGAACCTCATTGTTAAAACCTCGTTTTATTGAGGTATCCAAAATCCGCCTGCCGCCTCTTACCAAACTCCATTTAACAAAAGGTGAATTTAATGCCGCCGTCCTAGTCATTAGAGTACATATCTCGCAGGGCTACAAAACACATGATTGGAGTCCATTATTCGCTTCGGCAAGTTTATATTTCACCGTGCTGCACTTTATTCCAGTCTACTAGTCCCCAGTATTCAACAAAAAAAACCATACAGTGCGTTCACCAGTAACACAAACTAATGTTAAGTCTAGCTTTTTGTTAACATGAAGTGGTTGGCAGGGCTACTGGATACCCGGATACACAAATAGGAACAACCTGCTCGACACAGGTCTATATCGCACGGTCCGACAGGTATGCGACAGTACGTGAAACGTGAAATAGTAACACTGTTCAAAAGTAAGGTACGTTTTTTACAATATGTAACCGTTTAATGGGCTTTAAATCGGAATATCACGTAACTGGTTCACTACGTAGACCCAGTCAGTCACAGTAAACAGCCCCGGTTGTTTACTCACTCCATCTGCTCTTGAAGTTCGTCAGTCGGGGCCCTTTTCTCCTCCTCGTTACCGTCCCGCTCATTGCTGCTGAACTCCACAAACTGTCCTCCTCTCAGCTGTTTTTGTTACTAACACAACAGTTCCACTTTATCGTCTCCATATCCCGCACATACACAGCATCCTGCCTCGCGCTCACCACCGGCCCGCGTGCTTCACAGGCTGAAACAGCTCTGCCTGGCGCGTGCCCAAGCGGTCCTCTTCTGTGCTGCGTTCAAGTCGTGTGCGAAAAACGGCCATGAATGTGTTTCCTGCTACCAGTACAGTCAGTCGCACACCAAGTTCAAAATAATTATACAGGCACAGCCAACATAAACACCACAAATAGGAAATGTGTTGGGGTACATCGATAACACCCCCATCACCACAGGCTCAGCAACGCCCGCCCGGAAAGTTAACAGTTCAAATAAAAGATGTCACAGAAGCTGAGCAAGCCAATAACAACAAACGGCTACTTGAGTAAGTGCAGGCCGAGAAGCTGTTACCTTCCTAGGATCCTGTTAAATGCCAGAGAGCTGAATCAGACTTAGTTCAGTGACTGTCCTCTACTTTGACAAGACTGTTTGGACAGGTTGAGATTACTGGGAAATGCTGTCTTCTACTTTTTGCTTCTAAATAGAGAAATCTGTTCACCTACCAGAGCTTTCAGGAGCCATGGAGTCAACACTGGGGAGGGGGCAAATCACACAGAGGTCTCAGGGTCCCCCCATAAAAAAATAATCATTTTAAAACTCATTACCTGCCATTCAACCATCAGTATAGTTTTCCACCATCTTATATATATTAGCCTATCTATTTTTAAAAAGAGAGAGAGAGAGGGGGGGGGGGAGTCGAACCCATGGCCACTGCAGGAAGACCATTCTCGTTCACTAGCTAATGCACTGTGATGATGACCCCTCCCACTCTGGTTATTCTGTGTCTTTTTCCCTTTGTTCTTTGCAGGAGACAGAGTGGCAGTGGTGTGGCTAGTGTATGAGCTACACCTGATTCCTCCCTGATTGCAAGGCTTTATAGGGGGTTGAATCAGTTAGTTATCTGTCCCTCCTTCCAGCCAGCAGCATTCTGGGTTTGTTGGTGTTTACAAAGTCCCTTTACATACACGACACTCTGCCCATATCCACACACACACTCACTACACTACTGACAACACTGATGTACATATATTTTTTTATATACTTTGTTTAGAGTAAATATGGGTTAAATAAATTATTTTTTTCTTAAACTCCTTAATTATCTGTGTGGTCTCTCTTGTTTTGTTTTTTAACTTTGAGCTGGTTCATGACATGCACAGAATGCTAGCTGTGTTATTATGGAGCCTGGTTTTGTGTAATAAGGAAACAACATTGTCTACATTATGTTCACTGCCACTGTTTTTCCAGTCCAGAAAGTATTTCAATTTTCACCTCACAGAAGTTCTGTCAAGGTGTTTGGTGTCCACCATCCACCAAAGCACAGGACTGGTGCTTAAGTTTAGGCTACCAAAACACCTAGTTAGAGAGATTGTTGCTCTGGTTAAATATTTAAGAAGGAAAACAACACCACCATCTTCACCTAACTTTAACCAAATACTGTTGTTTTTGTAACTGTTAATGTACTGACTTCCATTAAGTCAAGGAATTATAGCAAATGGTGATGCAGTTAGAATTGGCAAAAAAGGCCCCGCTCTGGAGAACAATTGAAGCAGCAGCGAGGATTGCTGCAGAACTAATCCACCCGCTAACAAACGCATGAACATTTAATCTTTAACTAGCAATATCAAACACTTAACCCTTAAGGAGGCTGGGGTAGTGGAGGGAGCTGCAACAGCAAATGACATTGGCATGAGTGTGTCAGCTGAGGAAAAAGTGTTTATACAGAACACAAAGCAGAGTTTCACCCGGTGCCTTTCCACTGGCTTTGTGTGCAGTCATGCTCTCTCGTACCTCTCTGTCTGAACACACCTTAAAAGTGAGAAGTGTCGCGTTGTAAAAGCCAGACTTTGTACCTGTATAAATGTGATTGGACGTTACTAGTCAGCTGGTAGCCACGCAGCTGATTAACAGGTCAGTGATTGCGAAGCATGAAGGCTGATGCGATCAGCTAAGGCAAGCGTGACTTTAATGCTCCGCCTTAAAGTATATGCTCCATTTAGTATGCCACGTGCTGCCATGTCCACTTAATGTTCATGTTACCATCATACATACCTGTCTTCCTCAGCTGGTCCCGAGCCTTGTTTAGCTTTGAGGCGCCAACTTCATCTAGGACTGACTCTACGATTGAAAATGGAAAAGGTTTGCATTATGTGAGATATTTGTAGAATAAAACATATGTGAAAAGGGTTTGTTATACTGGGTGTGGAAAAAACAGGCATTATGTAGGGAAATATTCTGCTGACACAATCACAGGTCCTTCCTGTTTATCTTGGTGACCTTTGTCTGCAGGTTTTAGAATAGTCTCTCTAATATGAGAAACACACTGAGCATTAGTCATTTAGTCAAAATTAAATTAAATAATCAATAAGCTGGTGAAGCACCCACTGTAAGTAAGCGCACCCTTTGTCCTTTTTGATTACATTTTATACCTCCAGCCTGGGAGGTGATTGGCAGAGAGTGGACAGTAGTCACTGTACAATTATACAAAGAAACCGCCTCTGCCAAAATAAGGACCAATAAAAATAGTGACTCATGTACTAATCAGTAAAGGATGACACCCAGAATAACAAACTCATAAAAAGAGGGAGCAGACTGTGCTCCTGGTGTCTGATCCTGCGGACCTTTCGAGTGAAGCAGATCGGACCCACAGCTGTGTTATTTACTTATTCTTTCAAATAAAAGAAGTTGAGGACTACACTTCCTTTAAAGTCCATTCTAAAATAAAAGAACACAACAATTAAAAGCTATGACCAGTTGGCGTTCTTCATGAGGGTGCACTGGTGGATTTATCCCCCCTTGAGCCCCCATGTTTGGAAAAAGGCTGCAGAAGTGCCCTCTAGGGTGCCCTTGCAGTGGAGAAAATGTGATGAAGCACCCTCTAGACTGACCCCCTGACTAAGCTGTTTCACAATAAATGCATCTCAGCTTTCTGGTGACCTTTTTATTTTATGTGCCCCTGCTCCTCAAATAACCTGAGTCTGCTACTGCCAATGTTATCACCTTGGCAGATTTAAGAAAAGAATGACTGACTGGGAATTATGAAAATATATTTTTACCCTTTCTCGATCCCTCTCGTACTGATGAAAAAGACAGCAACCCTCTCCGCCGTCCAAATCCACCCTCTTCATAACTGTTGTGCCTCTCTGTGTAAAATTCACATTGACAAAACAAAACAGTGATCAATAAATAGAAGACTGATTGAGATGCAGGCATTAAGATAATTTATTCATTAGGACATTTTGCATCACTGTGAATACGTATTGTCTGATCCTTACTTTTAATACGGAGAGATGAGAAGCTGAAACTCCTCCTTGTGTTCGGAGACAGTGGCTGCTCTGAATTCTTAGAGAAAAGGGAACAAAGAGACACAATTTAATAAAATATAAAAACTAAAAAGTAAATTTTTAATCCAGAGAGGATGTAACCTTTTCATTACGACAATTTCAACAGAGATTTCTAATAGCTGAATTTTCTTTGGATGTTGATGGTGGACACAGGATGAATGTTAATGTTTTTCATAACCCGTCAGATCTTTAGAGAAAGATGATGGTTTGGGTTAAAATAAGCCTTTGGTTAAGGTTAGGGGACATCAGGGTTACAGTAATAAACACTTCCTTGAGGTCTGCAGCATTTCATTTCATGATTTGCATTGACCTGAATGGAAGTTAAATTTGGTAAATGTTCATGTTTTTGTTACTTTACACACGCTGCACGTTGTCATCTTTCCTAATTGAAAAATATGTCTTTTGTTATGTTTTCATTTTCAGAATTATTCCTTTTATAAACCTTGAGTGACTAAAATATCAAGGTTGGACTATCCAAGAGCAGGACTGAAAATATCCCAACATCTAATGGGCAGATTGCCCATTGCTCCATTCAAGTTTGGAGTGAGTCACTGTCCCCAGCGAAGAAATTCAAGTAACTTGTTCACCACAATTGAGGCAGGTTAAGTAATGCAATATTTAAGTCCCAGTCTGCAGTGATGAGGGGGTTTTACCAGACCTTTGTGGGGAGGGATCAACATTCAACCATTGTGATCTTTGAGTAATGACTAAAACAATTAGATTGTGGATACTAAGAGCCAAAAATTATCCTCACAGGGTGTCTGGGCTCAAGCTTAGAGACAGCGAGAGGAGTGCTGACATCTGAAAGGATGTTGGGCTACCTTGCTTAGCCACCATGACCCAGACCCAGTTAGGCTTTACAAAATAGACGAGTAGAGATTTTGGAAAATGTTGCTTCCCAGAATAATTTGATCCATTCAGGTCATTGCATTATTTTCTCAGCTTGCTCAGACCAAATGATCAACTTTGCACAGTAGGGCCAGATTTGCCACTATTTTTGCTGTGGATAATCATGGTATCCAGAGTACTGACCATATGGATTTTGAGGATCCTGCCAGCGTGTTTTGTCCCCCTGGTGGCAAGTCTCAAAAAATATAGAAATAACCAGTACAGCTTTTGTAAAGTGTTTTAACTGAAATAGACCCCAGTGTACAGGCTCACACAGTCTACTCTTTACTTGGCACGAATAGTTTGTTTGCTCCGCTGTGACCATGGAAACTGAAGTCAGCGTCTAACCCAAGTAACTGACACTAATGACAGTTTATGAATACCATTCCTTTACTACCACTAAGCCACTGTTGTTGCTTTGTTTTTTTGCTAAATTTCTAACAGTCAGATGGACTACTGACCCCTGTTTGAATCCTCATACTGCACGTATTGCATATGAGCATTATTGGTTCTGCATGGGAAGACACAGACACTTATTTATAGCCAACCAAAATGACAGGACATGACGATGCCCCATGGGAAAACTCCTCAGCAATGCAAACCACCAGTGTATAAGTGGAATGCAGCAAATAAGGATTTGTGGAGCATAACACAAAGTATTTGTAATATTAGTTTGTTAAAGTAGTAAAGGGTTTTTTGGGGGGTTTTCTGTCATTAGGAGTATTTCCAAAAATGTAGGTTTAGGAACTCATCACTTCCTGGCACAGGATAATTTATGTTTCTTGTTTGTTTTGAATAAATTAAAGATCAACTGACTGGTGAGGAAAAGCCAGGCAAACAGCGCCACCCACATTTAACAACAAAAGATTGAATTGTTTAAGCATCGGAAGGCATGGCACAAAGCAACACCACAATTATTGCTCAACATACACGTTGAGATTATTAAAAAAATGGAAACAAAACTTTGCTATTTAGAACTTTGCTAACATCTTCTCAATCAGATTATGACTATTACTAAACAAGCTCTATTAATACATTTTTAGTTTATGTGGTGGTGAGTAAGAATAAAGGCTGTGTATTGGCAAGAATCTGATGATACGATACATCTCATGATACAGGGGTTATGATTCAATATATTGTGATGTATTGCAATACTGTAAGCAAGGCCATATATTGCCATTGAACAGACCACTTTTTTTTTAATGCAGCCAGAACAGTGGGATCTGAATTGGGATTAATCACATTTGCTGTAACATCCACAAAACAAAAAATAACTACAAAACTATCACAAAATAAAATATCGCAATACAATATTTTTCAATTTTTTTATTATACTCCTAGTAAGAATGCTGATGTCTGTCTGTTGCGCAAAAACAGGCATTATTGGTAGCCTTGCTCTGTCCAAAGTTCAAAAATATACCTACCAACACAAGTTATCTGATTCACATGTATCTTTTTTGTTTAATCTGCACACAAATGTAAAAATATCAATTTGGTTCAGGGGAGGGTTTACACATACTAACAAACAACAGTCTATCCATCCACCCAGAGTGACGTATGTGGTGGTCATCTCCAACCAACACCCCTTATGGCCCGCTCTTAAATCTCTCCACTCTCTGCAGACTGTTGCCATAGCTGTACTGTAGCCTGATGCTCTTCCACAGAAGAAGAGAGTTGGCCTCTCAGAGCCGCTGGCTTAGCTAATGTTACAACACAGGTAGCACACAGAAACATTAACACATGACTGTAAATGTGCTTCTAGTGACTGCAAAAGCTCCAGCTGTGCAGACACAGAGAGTGTGACGGCAGCGGCTCGTGGCTGGTTAGCTCTGACTACCAGCAGCTGTACCACTGCTACACTGAGCGGCAGTCAGTCCATCACTCTGGTTGGTGTTATCTTTGCATCGCACACTCAATAGCCACAAGGCCACAGCCCCCTGTATGATTCTTCCAGGATCTTGTACCCCAAGCAGGCAGAGAACAGTGTATCCATCCGCCCTCAGCACCTCAGTGCAGCAGCTACAGCTACAGGTTGCCAGATAAGGTCGGTGAGTTCAAGTTTTGGTTGTAGTCTCTGGACACCCATGATGGTGCCAAACCTGGCAACCTCAGGAAGCTTTTAACGCTGACTGCAGCCAGCTGTTGTTTGTCAAGAAATTGTTCCAGCATGTACCTCCTCCTTAAACCATTTCTTCATTGTGTGTGCAAGGATTAAACAAACATGATACAGGTGCTTTGGAGGTGTTGGTAGAATGAACTTTGGACAGAGCCAGGCTAGCTGTTTCCCCCTCCATCCAGTCTTTATGCTAAGCTAAGATAACCAATCCCGACCCAAGATCTGTACTTAAGATACTTTTATATTAATATTGTTCATTTTACTTTAGAAACAAATATTTTGCATAATGTTGAATTAAAGCCAGACAGTGGTGTAGATTTGGAAATGAGTCCCACTGCTAACACACAAAAAAAGGCAGTAAAATTACAACACTAGAACACAAGACACTAATTTACATACAATCTCCACACATAGAGCCTTTAAATGAAATCAAACCCTGCTTGCTCAAGCCCTGAAAAAGCACATCAGACCACTAAAATGCAAATGTTATTTTAGGCCTGTAGCTAGTGGCTGTTGGGGTGCCTTTATGCCTGTGCACACTTGTCTTTTCTCTAGCTTATCATTCACTTCAAAAGAACAGATGGCTTCAGGCGGCCACAGCAAACTACACACACGGAGGTTTGTGACTCCATCACAAGCAAACACTTTTATGACAAAATTGTGGTGTGTTTCTTTAGCTTATCTCTTCAACTTAACCTCAATAAAGTAGGTCATTATAGTATCTGCATTGTAATTCCTTCCTAGTGCAGAAATGCTCTTATTGTTTTTAATTAAATTTTTTTTTACTGTGAAGCTTTCAGCTGCCAAGTCTTCCATTCTTCAGAACCAGGGTTTGTCTTTTTAATATGAAGTGCCATTTTTAAATGTTCTAGTTTGTGCCATATCAACATTAAGATTAACATTAAGTTGAATTATGACACCAGATCAAAATGTCAATTTCCAACAGAGCTGTAGTTTTATTTCATCCATATAGCCAACATGCATAGTAAGATTTAAGCCCTTTATCAGAGCATGTCATTATATACAAGAGCACTCTACAAGAAGGCTGCCATCCACATCTGAGTTGAAACCATATATAGCCTGCAGGTGCTTCAACTGCAGGGAGCAGGGTCAAAGAGCTCTTCAGTATTTCTGAACTCTCTTGCACACTTGTTGCTAGTGTGCCGTAGGTTAAGCTACTGCATGCCAATGAGTGGGAGCTGGTACTCTTCTACAGAGTCACCATGTTGAACCAGCATGTTTCTACAGTAGCCCAGAAAAGACAAACCAAACACTGGCTTTAGATATTGCATTTGCATGAAATAGTTTGAAATAATCCTACTAGATCTGTATGTGTTTTAAAACCAACCTTTGTTTGGTTTGTCCGTTCTAGGCTACTGTAGAAACATGGAGGATCTACATGGCGGACTCCATGAAGAGGCGTCTGTAGATAAATACAGCTCAGTCTAAGGTAACGGAAACACAGCAATTCCTATTTTTAGGTGATACACTAATGAAAACATACATATGGATATTATATTCCACCTGTAAGGACAGTACCGTTACATTCTAACACTGAAAAGCACCAATCAAGATTACTCAAATTATCTTGAGATCATTCATATAAACCTGAGTTAAAATCTAGTATGCTTAATGAAGTTACCACAACTTAATTACTAACTACTAACTAATACATACACATTGTACAGAAAGTGGGAGAGATAAGGGTTGATCAGCACAGCAGTCTGCATCCGCTCTGATACCTGTAGTATATGTTGCAATACCACACAGTTTGTGGAAACATAAATACCCTGATGGAATAAAGCAACCAAACATATGTTTGACATATAATGATAGCATACAAACAGTGGAATGAAGTTGTAGGATGCATTTCTAATTACATGATAGAACTTTTTTTACACTACAGTTAAACAATAATCTGTTTATTTGTAATGATTTAGTGGAAGCCCCAAAGTGAAGTGTCATTGAAGTCTGCGGCACTCTTGTACCAACTGTGATCTGGAGTGACTTTGCTCACTTAGACAGGTGTGCAGGAAGTGGTACAAGCTGATATTGAGGGTACCAGGCTACGTTATATTCCTTTACATATATTTGTATCAAATCAGAAAATGCAACCCCCCGCCCACTGGCTCTCAGAATCAACATCAAAACGGTGTGCAATTGTTCTGTAAATCTTACCACAGGAAGTAAAAGTGAAGATCAAAGTTCTCTATTCCTCCTGTCATGTGATATTTACAGGAAATGTCAGCGTCTCAAATGTTTAACATCTTTACATTTCACTGTGTACATTTTTGTTGCCACCGACTGCACAGTGTATTGTGCCTTCTTTTCTGATTTACAGATACTGATATCAATGAACCATATGTAAAGTGAGCATGAAAATAACAGGTTAATCCTAGTTGAGCCTAAAACAACCAACTCAAAACACAAAGTGCATGGTTTATGGAAGGAGCACACTCACCATCTGAGCTTGTTGTGACGGTTTATCCATTTGTCTTGGCTGTGCAGGTGAAAGATATATATTTATCCACTGGATCCCGGGCTAATCTTATGACTTTGTCATAACTTTTATTTTATTTCTTCATAAGTAAATACTAGCTTGAAATATTGTCTTCCACAGCCCGTGCAGGCAGCTGTTAATAGCAACAATGAAGCAGCAAGTGCAGAAGTAAGAGGAAGTGCGCTGCTGAAATGTGCGGTTGACGGACTTCAGGCTTGGATTTCCTCTTTTAATGTAAAACCAGTAGTATAGTGACGCAGATGACACTGCAGATATGGGTGTGTCTATGTGTGTATCTGTGTATGTGTGTATTGTGCAGTTAAACCTGTTTATCAGCTTTTGACTCCAGGAAGCCTGTGCACTACTTTGGATATTCAACCTCTGCTGAGTCTGCTTGTTAGCAGCCTAACCAGATAGGGCTGGGTGTGTCATTCATTGTGATTTTATCTGCTCATATAAAATATTACGTCTTCATGGGTAATACAGGCCCAAAGCAACAGCTCCAGACCCAGCTCAAGTTCTCTAAGGATAAACATCCCTCCTCCAAAAAGAATTGTCAAGCGAGGCAATTCAAAGATAGTTCCTGGTCCTGTTATAGCTGGGTATACAATAGGGAACATACTGTTTGTATGTTCTGTAATCTGAGTTACAGAAGTGAAATAAAACTTAAACTCAAATAAATTCAAATGTACTAAACTCAATAACATCCGATAAAATAAGCCAGATTCAGTCTAGAAATTCAATGGTTTCCACATTAATGGCGGTGGGAAGTACGACAGCATAGTCTGATAAATGTGATTTCACTTGAGTCATCATCAGTTGGGGCAGAAGACTACAAGTTTGAAAATATTTGGTTTCAACCACTAGCCACTGCTAGCATGACAGACCTGAATCTCTGACAGAACTGTTTGTGGTTGAGTTACATTGTGGGTAATGTAGTTGCCTGGTTTTCACAGGGAAGAAGAATGTGTCGAATGGGTTTTCTGTTTTCTGTTCACTCCATGAATTCCATGGAAGTCATCGTTATCAATGCATCAAACATTTTTACATTTTTTATTTATTTACATGATAGAGCCCTATCTAGTAATCTAGTAATGTGCTTGTTTATTCTGACAGTTGCAGGAGTGACTGGACCACATTCTAAACATTTGTCACCACAAAACTGTTTAGAAGATTAATTTAATGATTAACATTTTAGAGAACATCTTACAGTAGTGGCAATAACAGTTTAGCTGGGTAGCTAACAAGTATCCATAAAATAATACAAATGCATGATAGTGGTTAATGATCTTCTGCTTACAATGGAATCAGATTCCACCTTAGTGCTTCTATTACTGGATCCCAGTGCGGCTTTTTATAGATCATTGTATATTTCTACACCAACTGAAAAATACATTTGCAGTCCCAGGCCTGGCTCTCGTGTGATTAAAATCTTACCAATCTAAAAGAACACAGTGTGTTTCCTTTTTTGAAATATTGCATAAAAAAATTCTGATATGAAATATGGAGGCTCTATTTTGGTTCTCTGGTCTTCTCTCTTTATATTGCACCTCTTAGCCAAATTCTGTGTACTCATGGAATTAATTCCCACTGCTACGCTGATGATACCCAGCTGTATGTGCCTGTAAAGGCAGATGATATTTCCAAATGACTAAATTAGAGGCTCTCTGCTCTCAGAATACAGGGCTCCTGTCTGTCCCCAAAGTTAAAAAGAAGTCAGCTGGCTGCAGGGCCTTTTCCTATCATGTCCCCTTTCTTTGAAATAACCTCCCTGTTGATATCAGACACTGTGACTGTTGTGGTCTTTAAATCCAAACTTAAAACTTTTCACTTTAACTTTCAGTTAGCTGTTCATTTTGTACCTGTCACTATTATCCGTCAATCAATGAATCAATGAAGCCTAGTGCTTACAGCTCATTTAGTCATCCTGATTATCCATACTGTAATTTTACTATGTTGGTAATTGCATGTCTGTCCATTGCTCTGCCAGAAGTTTCTTCCATTTTCCATGTTAAGGGTTTTTTTTGGGTAGTTTCCTTATCTGAATCAAGGGTCTAAGGATAGAGGGTGTCATATGCTGTACAGGTTGTAAAGCCCCTTGAGGAAAATTTGGGATAGGCTATTGGGCTGAATAAATAGAATTGACTTCAGAAACTCACTCATAATACAGTGACAGGCTCCAGTCTTGTCATATATGTAACCAAAAAAAGGAACTTAAAAGTTTTGATATGGGTGGAGGCTCATTTTTTCACATCTCTTAAAAGTATTACACATCAGCTTGGTGTGTTAATTTTACAGGAAGTAAAAGTTTGGTATTGTCTTCCAAATGCTTCTACAGTTTTGAAAAACTTACAAAGCAATAGCATGTGTGACTTTTTGATATTCTGAAATACAGATGGTTATCATACATTCCCTTCAGCCATTAACAGAGGCCTCTGTCCTGCACACTAATCAAGAAAAACAGGGACAATTGAGACTTGGTGAAATTCTCACAAAATTAATGATAGAACATTTTAGAACTTTATTTTATTTTTTTAAATCTCTTGACTTTCATATCACTCTGTGACATCATATCCCATTTGTGCATGCATCAGCGTGGTTGTTCTCTGCCAGAAGCTGTCATACAGTACATTGACTTTTTTCCAGTTTTAAATCACATTTTACCTTTTTAAAGCCACCAGACTCCTTTGACACAGTCTAGAGAGCATACATAGATATAATGGCTTCAGTTCTCCATCAGAAAGGACTGTCTGATGGCAACGTCCCCCATGAAGAAGTTTCCCCAGATTACCCACCATATTGCAGCAGGTGGACAGGAGACTCTTGAACACCATGTAAGGAACAGGATTGCTGCCTACTTGTCTGCTTCTGTCTGACTAACACACATCAATGGCCATGACCACCTTTAATGAAATTTTGTCAAGGTTTTTGAAATGTTTGTACAGAATACCATGGTTGTCAGTTATCTTGTTTGTTCTTTTGTACACATATATTTTGTGTTCATTTTTGTTTTGTGCACATTTTTCATTTATCTTAAAGCTGCAGTAGGTACTTTTTATTTTTATTTTGTCATATACACTGAAAGGTATACTTTAAAAACTTTTTCTATCTGTTTTCTCTCTTTCGTCTTCTGCATAATCACAAGTTAGAAACAAATTTACTCTACACTATTGAATTACACTATCTTGCGACACCTGCAAATCAGTAGGGGCACAGAACAAAGGTTGAGAACATAAACACAGGTCTCCCTATACCATTACTTCAGTGTAACTCATAACATCACAAATGCCACTGGCCGGTTTGCCATGGGCAAGTGTTGCCATCCACTGGTAAGTATGTTTACATGGTTCATAAAAGGCACACCTTTAATTAAAAGTGGTGGCATTGAGGGGTAGCTCCTTACAGCCATGTATCACCTTTGTGATAACAATATGTCCATAAGAACACAATCCCCTTAATCACTGAAGAAGTCTCAATGGTTTTTTTCAGTGTGTTTTCACATAAGAATGACCAACATTCACACTCCATTATCATACTGTCTAATTTAAGATATGCAATGGTTTTTCATTCTATTTTCTCTAACCCACAAATTTCCAGGGTTATCATATCCTAAGTTTCTACCTTTCACGGGGAAAATGAATGCCACCATAGAACTGCAGTTACAAAAATAAATCTTTATGTTGTTGTTGTTATATATAGTATATAGTATATATATATAGTATAATGCAGCAGCGGGAATTACATTTGTGTACACATATTAAATATTTTTCTATATATCACCTGTCTACCTACATTTACAAGTTATTTTACTCTTGGATATTTCTAAACAAATATTAGTTATTGTGTATTATTATAAATTGTGTTTGAAATAAAATAAAAACATGAACTCTACAATAAAATATTTATTAATAAAAATCGGCCCCCTAAGATAAAAAAACAGGTGGTTTTAGGTGAGGGTGCTGAGGCTAAACTGGAGGGGCTTGGGAGGGAGGAACACAGGAATTTGGAGAGGAGCATGAGGCAACATTTAAGTCACTTAGGAGAACCGTGTGATTTACACGAGGTAAGGAGGAAAGGAGGCCTTGCACCTCAGGATTTGTTTGCCTGATTGAACTGGCTTTCTGGTATCGACCAAAGAAACTTTAAGAGAAGGAAGGAGCATTAAATCATAACACCAACATTGTAATGCTGTTTGGTGCCAGTTCTACTGAAGCCTACGGGAGATGCATGGAGAAGCACACTACTTATTTCCGTTGTATGACCTTTGATGAAAAGATACCTCTACTGAGATTTTTCCAGGGGGGTATTGCACAAAAGCAGAATAAAGAAATCCAGGATAACTGAGCAAGCGCGGCTTGACCTAGCCTGCTCGGCGCATCCTGGCTTAATCGGTTGCACGTTTGCCGATATAAGAAAAAAAGGCAATATCAATGCCATAATTAAAGAAAGAGAGAAAGCCTGGCAGACAATAGCGGACCGGCTTAATGCTTAAGTAGTCCAAAACTGTACAACTAATAAACAGTGCTCCACTGGAACTGTCATAATTAGGCTCCAATTAAAGGACTAAAGGAGTTACTTTAAGTCCACTAAACAACTGTTGTACACTTTGCTTTAAATGTGGCAAGTAGAGGTGCATGTTACTTAAATGTAGAGTATGATTAAGTGCAAACAATTATCCACAATGTGTGTCATTTAATCTATTTTTATCTATTTTATCTTTCTATCCTTCATAAAGAACAAACTTGTTTGGCCATAAAAGGACTTGGCAGCAAGTTAAAGTTAAATACAAGAACATTTTGCAGGCTGGTAAGTGACCCTAAAGTAGTTAACAGTGAACAAATGAGGTGAATAGATTAGGTGTCTGCTGACATGTTAAATGTCTGTATGATTGTAGCAGTTAAAAAAAAGCCCATAGAACTGGCACAGGGGGCGGCCCACCAAGCCAGGATATGTGCGGCAAATGGTTCCTTTATTGAGGTTCTCTGCATCCCCAACAGAATAAAGGAAGCTCCCACTTGCAAAACATCTCAATGTACCACAGACCATCTGTGGTACAGTGAGAGCATGGCTTCCTGCCGTCTGGTGCTGTATTTTTGGACCCAGCAGCCTACATAAATATCTTAGTCCATCACCTGAGAATCTGTATCTCTCAATGACATAGTCATCTCCAACGGCCAATGGGTCTGACCTGTCCCGGAAGACTCTTTCATGACTAAA